ACCAAAATAAGAAAGCTCGCAGCACCTTAGGTGTTACATAGTGCAAACGCATCCATTTTGTAACTTATATTAGGGTTGACTTAAATACGAATTAGAATCAGCGCACTAGATAAATTATCCGCAGTCAGAAACTGATTTTCCTTTAGAGCTAATTGCAATATAAGGATGTTAATATGGCAACCCAGGCCTAATATTTCACGTGCAACTCCACTTAAGAAGCAATATACAATAACTCTTGTAGTAGATATAAATAACTCACCCCTATTCAATTGAATTTAATCTCACAAGCTCTCGTTTCTTCTGTATGTATTCCACTTACATGACATGATACCAGGTATTAACAATTAAACTGGAAATTACTTGAGATATCGTAGAAAATCCTGAGATTTTGTAAACATACATTGATACAATTTTGCATATTTAACCCCGTCGCTATGAGGCTGGACCTTACCGTGGTGCGATGGTTTGTGTGCCTCAGCGATCCATTGAGCTATGCTGGGTGGTGCTTTTGCACCTTCAGAGTCACTCATACCAGATTGGTCAATGGTTAGAGGTCAGACAAACTCAGCCTCCTGGTCCTCCAGGTTGGGGGTTGGAATGAGGGTGGCACCTTATTCCTTAAAACGGACTCCTTGTAGTCCAACGCCAAACCCGCTGCCTTGCGGTCAGGTTTTTGAACCAAAGGCTTTGGTTGAGAACCCTAATCGTTCTCCTGTCTAGGCCTGGGCAACCTGACAGTATCCTGCCCACGCAATACAATGAATCACACTTCAAACAAATTGCTGATGCTCTGGCCACCGCAGAGGATAATCAACGGTGCCCTATCTGCTGCATCGAGCAGGGTGGATAGGGGTTTGGATGCTACTGCTCAAGCCTTCCCGTCTTCTTATTCCCCATCTTACGCTTTTTCACTCTTACCGTCCCCTTCCAACTTCACTTATATCCCCCCAGTTTTCAACCCCCCGATTCTTGGCCCTCCCCCAACATGCTTTGCTAGACATTTATCTTCTAGTTTCAACTCACATGTGAACGCGAAGCGTCACTCCTCTCCTGTCGACAAGCCCATGTCCAACCAAGCGGTCCATTCCAGTTCATCGGCTTCCATTTGGAGCCCTCGATTTTCCTTCAGATTGGCATGCCTTAATGTACGCACACTACTACAGATCGGTCAACAGGCAGCACTTGCCCGAACATTGGAGACCCTCTCGATCGATATCTGCTGCTTATCAGAGACCCGCCTGCAAGACTCGAGCTCTGTGCTCACTCTGCGATCCCCTTCAGGTGACGCAAACAGTATTTTCTCATTGCGCCTATCCGGTGACGATGCAGCTTCGAGCACCGGCCAAGCTGGTGTTGGCATTGCTCTGAGTCCCCGGGCTGAAGCTTCTATGGTTGATTGGATTCCAATCAGTAGCCGGATGTGTGCGGTCCGATTGGCTGGCTCCTCTAAAGCTTCGAAGTCGCGCGGGACTAATAGATGTCTATTCATCATCGCTGCCTACGCGCCCACAAACTGTAGCGATGATTCGGTAAAGAACGACTTCTACCGCCAACTGACTCAGCTCCTTCGCCACAGAAGAAGCACGGACACTGTTGTTCTGGCGGGGGATATGAACGCACAAGTTGGAAAGTTGTCCACTGATGAAATGCATCTGGGCGGTCAGCACGGTGTAGGCTCCCGTAATGATAACGGTGAGCGGTTACTTCATTTGTGTGAAGATGCTCGCTTATTTCTTGCGAGCACTAATTTCCGACACAGCACCCGCCGGAGGGTGACTTGGCGCCCACCAGCCTCGAACCAGCCTTGGACGCAGATCGATCACATTGCTATTAGTTACCGCTGGAGAGGCTGCATCCAGAATTGTCGCTCGATTTGGAGCACATGTGTGGACACTGATCATGCACTTGTATGTGCTGACATGCGGATGCGCTTTGGAGGACGCCCACGACGACGCTGTGAGCGCATTGACACCAGCCAACTGACAAAGCCAGCTGTTCTGAATGCGTATCGATGTACGCTGACATGCGAGTTGAGTACTCGCTCACTGGAGACAATTGATGGTCACTGGTCACATGTTCGCCAGACCTTACTAGCAGCGGGCAAATCCTCATGTGGTATGTCTAAAAGCCCACATGGACATTGGGTCTCTTCTCGGTCTCTGGAACTTATCGACGCTCGCCGGCATATCCCGGCTGGAAGCGAACACAATGAAACTCGCAAAGAGCTCCGGGCAAAACTCCGTGCTAGCCTGAAGAGAGACCGCGAATCTTGGTGGTCTCATCGTGCGTCAGAGATGGAAGTGGCCGCTGCCCTTGGCAACCATCGTAAGTTATTCCGTCTGATACGGGAAACGGGCAGCAGGAGACCTGGTGTTAGTGAAACTATACGTGATGAGAGTGGACAGCCTATCCACAATTTGTCAAAACGTTTGGAGCGTTGGGCTGAGCATTTTGAAAAGCAATTTAATCGGCTAGAATTGTCCGATTCGCCGGTCACTGATCGCCCTGCCCCGTGGGCTGTCCCTTTGGATCCACCCTCTCGCTCAGAAGTCGAACGTGAGATCCGGCTGTTGAAGTTGAACAAAGCCGCGGGACCAGATGATCTTCCTCCAGCCCTCTTCAAATTCGGAGGCCCTGCTCTTGTGGATGCTTTGCATGAATTACTAGTGAAACTGTGGGAGCAGGAGACTGTCCCAACCGACTGGAGCCGCTCCGTTATTGTTCCCATCTTCAAAGGCGGCTCGCGCTCGGAATGCGGCAACCATAGAGGAATCAGTCTGATCTCCATCGCCTCCAAATTACTCGCCTCCATAATTCTTCACAGACTGACTGGCGCTCGTGAAAGCCAGATTCGTGAAGAGCAAGCCGGGTTTCGTCGTGGTCGTGGCTGCATTGACCACATCTTCACTTTGCGTCAGTTGTTGGAGCACCGCCACACATATTGGCGGCCCACCCTAGTCGTGTTCCTCGACATCAAAGGTGCCTTCGATTCGGTTGATCGATGTACCCTTTGGAATTGTCTACTCAGGAAAGGTGTGCCCGAGAAATATGTAAATATTATCCAAGCATTATATGCGCGTAGCACGGGCAGAGTGAGGGCTTACGGCAAGCTGTCGCCACCCTTTAATATCTCCAGCGGTGTGAGACAAGGATGCCCGCTGTCACCTTTCCTCTTCAACTTCGCTATTGACGAAGTCATGGAGTTTGCATTTACAGGACATGACTTGGAAGGTGTGGAGCTACTCCCAGGAGAACGACTTCTTGACTTGGAGTATGCTGATGACATTGCCCTCATCTGTGACAGCTCCCAGACGTGCCAAGCCGCGCTAGACAGATTAGCACTGGCTGTCAGCCGCTTCGGGCTTTGCTTTGCACCATCGAAGTGCAAAGCGCTCCTCCAAGATTGGCAGGGATCGCCTCCTGCGCTGACCCTTGGTGGGGATCAGCTAGAAGTCGTTCAGAAATTCAATTACCTGGGAAGTTGTATCAGCGCCCTTGGGATCGAAGACGAGATCACGAACCGTATAGCGAAAGCTCGAAGTGCTTTTGCTAACCTTCGCCATCTTTGGCGGCGGCGCGACATCACTCTCGCCCTGAAGGGTAGAGTGTACAATGCAGCGGTACGTTCGACCTTACTGTACGGTTGCGAAACCTGGCCCCTAAGATCGGCGGACATGAAGAGGCTAGTTACGTTCGACCATCGGTGCCTTCGCAGTTTGGCTCACATATGGTGGGAACACCGCGTGAGTAACGAGCGTGTTCGATGCATTGTTTACGGCCCAGGAAAAGGATCTGAACCGCTCAGCACCGTTATTTCCCGCACCAGGCTCCGATGGCTCGGCCACGTGTTACGCATGCCAGCCCACCGACTCCCTCGACGTGCGTTGTTTGCTCACCGGGGATGTGGGTGGAAGAAGAGGAGAGGTGGCCAAGCGATGACTTGGTCCAGGGGAATGAAGTCCCTCACCTCGGAGCTAGCCTCGGTTGGAGCTTCACGGCTCCCTGGTTGGGGTCCAAAAGACGGTGAACACGTTTGGCTGGATACACTTGCTGACATGGCAAGGAGCCGACCTCAGTGGCGTTCATGCTGTGAGTTTCTTTTTCCCGCCCCATCCCTTTTAGCCTCCCCATCCATCTACGATCTCATTTCCTAGGGTAAAACATAATATTTTTTTTCTTTTTGCCTAGTAGCTAGCTGGAAGCTTACCGGAACGATGCCTATCCGTTGCTGGTAGCTCAGCTGGCATGCAACTGTTGTATCTACTTCTCCTTTGTGTATTGTATTGTATGTATGTATGTATTTCCTTCATGTATTGCGGCACAATAGCGGAGGTGTTTTTTCCACCTCTAGCTGATGTGTATAATGATGATGATGCATATTTAACCTCAGCATGTTTGGCAATGTAATTCACCCTTCGTAAATATTTCAAAATTCTGCTTCACTGATAAATGGTTGCTTTACACGGTTTGCGTAATTTTAAAATTAAGATTAAAAAATGATAAAGTCGGCCGTGTTCCTTTGACAAAATTGAATTCAGTAAACGACATCCCCTGAAATAGTCAATGATCAGGTTTTATAAAAGACTTTTGAATCTATAACAGGAAAAATGTTAACATAAATGGATTTCTTGTCTAGGACACGCTACAAGTTTTGATGGCACCATTTTGCCAGTTAAGTTTATTTACTTACATATGATTTCACAGTAAATAAGATATTCCCAAAAGGATATTAACTTGTCTAAAATTTGAGTCATATTTAGCAGGTTGGATGCGGACTAAATTTGTAATTTGCAAGTATCTGGTATATTTAGTTAAATTGTGCATGGCTCAAAGTATTATTGCTCTTGTCCCAGAGATATAAGCTTTAAACAGAGCAATGAGATTCTAATAACCAACCTCCCACATACTAAAATATTTGCTTGCAAATGCCTTCATCGATAATGTTCTCAGGTATGTAATTATGACAGCTGAAATCGATTCTGGTTACACCCTTTTATATTATGGTATATAAAACTCGTTCTGATCATGTTGCGAGGGGAACTCAGGATACCATGGCAGCAATGTTTCAAAAGTTTGCAATCTGCGTCTTCGTCTGCTACTTAACATATATCAAGCCGGGGATTTGCACAAGTAAGTGTTGCTATATATTTTACTTTCATTAATATTCAAATAAACCATTTCGTTCAATGTAACGCAAATTTAGGCATTAGTGCTTGGAGGTACATTTGCGTTTAGATGTTAAGAGAAGCAAACCATAACTCAACTACCTGATAAAGGTAGCTTTTACTACAATCGCAAACTGCATGCGGATAATGAAATAGGAAATTACATCTGTATATTGTAATAGTTCACTGCGGTCCACTCATTCAGCAGCAATTGGCTAGTCTGGATACACATCAGATGGCGTTGTTTTGACATTCTGTGATTCGTCGATGGTGCCTTCTCTCGGATCCCTACCGGATTTTGACCACATGGCTTACGGATGCTAGCAGTTAGTGTCACTAAGCCATGGATGACAACCGCGGAGCTACATATTGACAGTTGAGTCTGAAATACATCGGATCATTTCCACAGCATATCACTTACAAACTGTGCAGAGGACAGCAGTTGTGCTCAGTAGCCAGGAGTTTCCGTAAACTGTATTAGTGATATACATATTGCGTTTAACTTTTTTCGACTAGACAGATATGGATTCATAAAGTTAATTTTAAGTAGCTGTATAATTTGGAGAAGACAGATTGTCTGGACATACAAATAAATCGCAAAATTGATTCAAAGTATGAATATAGCTGACAAACCTAAGCCAATTTATAAGCAGGGGAAACCCAGGTGGTTTGCGACCTAAACTGAATATCTTGCATATACTTACAAGGACATTCCATTCAGTTGCTTACTAAGTAGCGCATTAAAATGTGTTGTAGTATGAAGTCTAATCAACTCTATTTCAGTAAAAATAGCGTGACTGTTTCAGCTGAAACAAACTGAGGCCATTAGTTATTTTTTCATTTCGAACAAAGCATACCTAGTTGCATTGATGTACCTTCGTTCAATTTAGGTGCGCGCATTATGCCATTACTCTAATGGCTAACTGAGAATCTTTAAAGTACCAATAACAATGTACCTTTTAAGTTGCTTGAATTTGCACTAGGTCCCGCATCCTTGTTAATATCTAAGCTGCTGCATCTTTTGTATTCAGTAAATTGCTTGCATCCAACAAGGCGTTACGTAGCAAAAGTTGAACAAAGAAATACTAAACACAATTCTCCTCTCTTCGTTAGAGACAATTACATGTACTTTGTCTCGTCCACAACTGGAAAGGCAGCCTAGAAAAACGAGCTAGTGTATATCATCCGTGTTTATTTCTTTAATGAAACAGTGCGGAGCGTTAATAGATTATCTCCCGGAATTATAATGATGTAGCAACGTAGATTGACAAGTAAAGTAGGCTTATATGCCATTGTTAGCATGCAACATAAACCAGTCGCATTACTTTGAAATAGTGCTAAACGCAGTTGGATTTCACTTGAAGTCGTGTAATAGTTTGAAGGACCGTGGTAGCTAAGGTAAACGGCCACGGATATGTTGCAAATCAGTGAATACTGAACTAAACTAAACAATCTGTAAGCCTTGTGAGAAGGTTGTTAGTTGATTCAAAAGTTAGAATTAACATGTACTAGCTTACAAAGACAAACTCAAGTTATAGTAACTCAGTTTTGCTCACGTTCAATTTTTATTTCAAAAACACAACCTTGATAAAGTGACTCACCACCTTTGCATTTCCGAGGTCAATATTTTTTGTCTTACAATAAATTCCAATCAGAAAATTATATAGCTAACCGTCGTTAAGTGAGTCGCCTTTGTACTTAAGAGAAGGAGGCAGGAGAATAGTTAAATCTAGTGTTTTAGATTTTATAATAAACTATATTTTAATTCTGGTGTTGATGCACGCGTGGCACAAATACGGAAAACAAGGAAAGTATAAGTCAGGTAGAAAGCGGCTAGAAACCTTGCGATGATGTAGTAGAGTTGTTCCAAAGTCCCTTTTAACAGAAACTGTATAAAACATACAATACAAAAGTTTGACGCAAGCAGTTATTGAAAGAGTAGATTCAACATTTATAACTATGACACGAGGAACGTAAAGGAAAAGTGACTATCCACTTAGTAGTGGCATCTACTTATCCATGGAAGTTAAGAACATAATAAAAATTTGTGTTGTAATGTTAATTCAGGTTACAAAATTTTTATAATCCAGGCCGCAGGTGTTGCTTGTTGTTGTAAAAAGTTATTTGTGTGATGTCTAGAAAGTAGAGATCAAATTAGAAAGCAGTTTGTGTTTCATACTGACTAATGTAAAGGACGAAGCAAGCCTTTTAAAAACAACATTAATTTCAAATTCATGTCTTCGTAACATAAATTACTCCACAGTTTGCATTCACCAGATCTACAGATATGGAAGATGATTTGTCATGTGAAATTAAGGTCGCCAGGCACAAGGGCAGGTAGTGCTTCAGAAGTACAGTAGTTTTACTGAAGAATAGCGTTCCTTTAAATTAACATTACACGCATTTGCATTGAGAATACTAGATAACTGAGCCTACAAGTTTGCAAGTAAATGCTAAAGACAGTCGGTTTTATTTTCATTGTACTGCACTGCTAATTTCTTTTTATACAAAGAAATCATGATAAGTTCGAATGCATGGTTAATATGGATATTTAAAGAACCGGTGGTTGAATTTCGATTATAACCGTCTACATATGCGCGTAAACACACAGCAAACTGGCGACTTTTGATACCCAAGCGACAGAAATTTAAACAACTAGCAATTTTGGCCTCGCATTCTACTTTTGACTGATATAGTTAGGAACCTTTTCAACGAAACATAATGCGATTTAGTATTCAGATTTCATATAGCAAAATGTTAAGAATAAGTGAATGTGGCCAACATAAACACTGGAGTGTGAACACCACATGCTTGAATTTAGAAAAGATAGGACATAATATATTTTCACATGTTAGCCTCAATGTGCCACTTAAACTACAGAATACAAGGTGCTTTCTGTGTGGACGGATCTGTCGTTTAGTTATTCCCGTGTTAAGAGTTGTGCTTTGTTTTACTGTAACAAGGCTTCACTAAAGTTCGCAAATGTAGTAAAAGAACTTGTCTACAATGTGTGTAAACAACTCCACAGCCTTAGGGTTTCATCACTCAAACAGTTGCAAGCAATGTGCAGCATACATGTGTACTGATTCAATTAACTGTAAATTATCGAAATAATAGATTAGAGCTTGATTAAAGGACACCGTGCAAAAGCGCATAAATTACGCAGTACCTAACTGTAATCATTCTGGATGGCAATTAATCTAGACTGTCCAATTTCAATTTAAGTGGCACTGATTCACGATACGACAGCAGATTTGCAGCTCTGATAGTATTACGACGATATATTATTCCTAGTAAACTTAGAAGCAACTGGCACTCCAAGGTTTACTGGGTGTAGAAATCTTAATCCACAAATTTCTTCCTTTCTTTAGCACTTACTACCAGGAATTCGTGTCGGTTATCCTTCGTGGGTAAAGAAAATGGAACGATGATTGGCTACTCAAACAAAAGCAATTTTGACGTTGAAGGATTTTGTAATTATGCGATGGAAGTTAGGGAAGGTAACCAGGTCAACCTAACCTTCGAGAATGTCACGGTAAGCTATGCGATGAATTGCATCATGATGTAAGCTGATGCTATGTGTGGAGAAGTAATATATTTCACTCCGGTAGCATTTTTAAGAACTCATGGATTTTAGGCATATCACTTCACATCGAGTACACTTGAACCAGCTAGGTTCTGATACATGTGTTTTCTAGGAAACTTGGTGCTCCAATGTTCTACAGAAATATACCTGCTTGTATTCTCGTAGCACCCTAATCATACACCGAATGCAAGCGGGTTAACTTAACTTACTTGCTTGCGTCTTCTTCTCGAGTATGATTATCTCACAAGAGCAATAGCCTCTATGAGCAGAGGCCGACTAAGCTATTCATTCGGGTTGCGGTTGGATTGGCGGTGACGGCTACAGAAACGGTTTCACACATGTCACATCCTAAGTACATGCGGGTAACTAGGTTAGAATTCTGTTGTCAAATGCCCGTTTCGTTAACCAAGCCTCTGCATTACTCGCCGTACTGAGGTGTGTCAAGTGTTGCTTCAGTTAGCTGTAGTAACATTGCTCAGCTTGTTCGGATAAATTACTTCCATAACGGATACTAATAACATCCATTTTAAGTTCTCCAAAGATGCTAAATATAGGAAGAAAGAACGTAATTCTCGTCAAATTTACAGTGGCGCACCCACAAGTTAAATCAAGAAATAATAGCTAATCGCTACACGTAATTTATAAACTGACAATGTACATACATGAATGTATTCATTAATAGCAGTTGGCATGGTGTAAACGTTATCACCCAGATTTTGGCCTACGAATTTGGGATATATGCTAAGGAAATGCTGCGAGCTCTATCAGAATGATATTATGACAGCAGCTTCTAATTGAAATCGAAGTGTCTTTGAACGATATAGGGAAGCACAAGGTTTTTGGAATAAGGAAGAGATAAAAACTCATCAACGTAGCTTAAGTATATCCACTGGTTTTAACCGAAGTACCGTCGCTTTTACAGCGGTTTTGATAGGATAGATTTTAAGCACTTGTCGGTTTAAATGCGCTTCTATTAGCCATGAAACATGGCTAAATGCAGCGAGCCAACTAAGTGAAAATCAAAGGATTTTAGAAAAATAATTAATAACCCGTACAACTAATGATCAAATTTGCGGTAACCAGCACTTTAATAAAACACAGGATTTGCACGTTTCTCTCCATCAGTCAACGGTATTTTTTAGTGAGTCATATGAAGCATTATAGATTTTAGCTTTGTGATCTAGGGTCGCAAATTGTTAGCTGAACAAAGCAATATATTAATTTTATAATTGACTTAATATCTTCAAATTTGAGGTACGGCCTCAACATAATATACATAAATAAACGAAAGGTTTCTTCAGCACCTATGATTTAATGAAAGCTACATGACTTTGAATGAATTATCCAGCTTCATTAGCCGCGGATACATGTTATTGTCCAAGGGATTCTGTGTAAAGTCAGCGATATCGTAGGAGAGGTGCACTGTCCCAGGGTTTTAAATATATGTCTAGTGCAAATGAAGTTATGTGCTCTTAATTCCATCATTCTGTGTCATAGACTTCACTGTACTTTTTCTCAGGTTAGAAATTGTTAGTGTCACATTTTAACCGTCACCGACTACAAAAATTCTTTCAAGATATTCTTATACTTCGCTGAATCTCTGATACGTGTATGCTCCGAAGAAGGATGAATACACTTTCTTTAAGCATAATACGCTTTTGACATCTAAAAGGTTAACCTACGTCTCTGAATAACTAGGCTTTGCTTTGACTCAAAGAACAACTGTTCACTTTCGCATTTCTATTAAATCGTTACAGTACAGACCTCATAAAATTGGGTAAGGGAAGCTGAAGCTTTTTCAAATTATGCCTCTCTGGCTGTAGACATCAAGGATGCATGGCTAATGTTAACAAGGTATTGAATTACCTCGCAAAAATTTTTTTAGTCGTACAAAGAGGGAATTGAAACAATTAACTTAGTTTAATGATTTACGGCATTAAAATATTGACTGAGTATATAGCACCACAAAACACTTCCACCTTCCAGTGCACAAAAAATAAGCGCTTCCCAAACTTGGTTGATCTGCTCGCACAAATATAATTCGCCAACAGCAGCAGGACGCAATATTATGTGCGCAGAAGCTACCTTAAAATACCTACAAATTTGGCATGCCATTGTAAATGCTTCTTGAGAAATTCTGAAATTATCAGAGGCACGGATATTGGTTGCTTTTTAATAGTAGACGGGTTTTATCCACACGAAACGCAATGAATTTTATTAATCGTTTTATCTGTAAATTGTTGGTAGGAAAGACGTGATAAGCATTCACCGCTTCACATTCGCGTTACTAAATTTATGTTCTACAACGCTTCCTTTTACAAACATGGTATGGATTCAACATCCTTGATTTTATACTACTGAAACTGTCAAGCATAATCTCATGATTTAGAATGAATACCTCACCTTTGCCATCTACATTGCTCTATTCTTGTCCTTATCTTATCCCAAAAGCTGGAGCGTGAGGGGGTTTCGCTGAAGGACTACATCGTGATATTTGACGGTCCAGATTGCATGTCTAGAAGAATCAGGGCAGTACATGACCAACAAACTCCTCGATTTATATCCTCGGGGAACCGAATGGCTGCACTTTTTATATCAAATAGCCAATCCGAAACTGTTGGGTTCAAGGCCCGATTCTACACCGGTAATCCAAATAGATTATTTGTAATTTAAGCAGATAAATATTATGTGGATGATGATTTGTCCGACACATCCAATAATATATTTAAATGACTGATATTTCTAACAGTCTTAATGATCCAATTCTTCCAGCCTTACGTGTTGCATCTAATATTATCACGGCAATTTTACCAATTAAATTCTTAAAACTTTTGTTTCATCGCTGCGCATAATTTACTTGACTGGATGTATAATTCGGTTAGTTAATTTTAATCATATTGTAATCAATCTTTTTCAGTAGTACTAATAATTTGTTTGCATTTAGAAACGTTAGTCAAAATGTACATTCAGCGTAAGGCCCAACAAGCTAGTTTATGTCGATTACTCATATTTAGTGCAATAAAGCTGGAAAGCTTTTTTGGCAAACACAAGTTTAATGATTGGAAGCACTAAACTCCGCCCGGTCATCAATTTTAAAGCAAACACAAAATACTACTTTTGCTATTGCGTTTAAATTTGGGTTAAAATATAATAGTATTGCCTTTAGCAAATATCTGCAGACTAGTTATCATAGCAGGACGACCCAAATCATTCTGACGTGTATGCGTTATTTGTGTTGCACCCAAAGTAGAAGTTAAACGTGTAGTGCGGAATCCGCACGGAAATGGCAATCAAAACAGAGAATCAGCCATGGGTATTCTGTTAGTTTCATGCTTCCAAATTTGGCAGGTAAAAATAGTTTTTAAAGTTTATAATTTATTCAGAAATATTTAGCATTTATTTTTATTCCAGGATTTACTGGAATATGATGCGTCATACATGAGCGCAATAAAATGTAAGAATTCTTGCCACATCTAAAGTTAAAATGTAATTCAGTATCCACTTTCCTGCTTTTTCTTCCAATCATTTCTAGTTACTTCGCAGAGTAAGTAAAACAAAAACTTTGAATTAATTGCGCCCGCATTTACATATAACCTAACAATAATAACATAAGCCTTGCACAATTATTTAGTTATTGAAAATTACCACTGTGTATATCTAAACCATAATTGTTGATGTTCCTGATTTTCCATCATCTATTGTCAGAGTCTTAACTAGCAGCTACGTGTGGTAGCATGTTCGTACCTCATGTAACTTTCATGAAGAATTCTTAAATTGCAAACGCTTTCTCGCCTGCTTTTACAGATGCATCAAAGCCACTCCCACCGAAGGGTTAGTTGCGTTTAAAACTGGTGATTTTTACTTGCCTTGTTTTAATTAGTTGTGCAAATAATCTATCACCAGAACTGATTTCGACTTTGGTGATAATAACGAATACTAAAAGTATAATGCTAAGCATTTTACAGCAGTTAAATATCCATGATTGTACTACTTTCAGGACGAAATCTGATACTATGTGAGTTTCAGCAATCCATGTTTATATTCTCTATTTCGCTTTCAATGGATGCACCAAATTTTCTTCACAAAATCTTAAATTGTATTATCCGAGTTTTGCATTTACTTCGACCTGTGGTGTATTTAACAACAAGATTAGCATAATTTTGACATACAGAAATTAGTGTTGTTAGTCAGTAGCACTACGCATTTTAGAAACGTTTTAGAGGCAGAATTCCTATGTCGCCTAACTGAGTTCGTACGCATGTAAGTACAAGAAACGGTACGAGAATTGTTGCAAAGTCGCAAAACAAGGGAAGATAAGCAAGAAATACTCACCGATTACACCGGAAACATCATGCAAGTTCTATGAACATAGCGCAACATTTTATTTCCACATATCATAATGTTCTCAGGATGATTGACAATGTTGCGATCGAGATGCAGTCCAGACAGTTTATCCAAGAAAGATGAGGTATATTGCAATTAACATGAGGGTACTTTTAATCATAAGGCAATTACAAAAAGCCAACCTATTGAATTGTAGGCAAAGAATGAATTGGACTGATCATTTTGCCTTGTATCGGCTGTGGTTTTATTTTTCATCCCTATGACTAAGTGAGCGGTTATAATAGCACACTGAAAATCCAACCTAATTATATCTCCGAAATTTATGAGTGAACTCACTTGAACAGATATGATTTGCAAATAAATGAATTGCAATCAAAATGCGCTGTTTCGCAATTCACTCCATTAAAATATCACTAATGGTAAAAGAAATATAGCGCAAAGGTTTGTCCAAAGCCAAGGCTCCTTACAGAAACCTTCTAGCCACATGGTGACAGTAAGCTAAGCACATTATAACTTCATTAGCAAACTAAGATCTGTAATATTACCAAGCAGGAACTTGCGTGATTTTGTGAGCTGATCTAATTTCATTAAGATATACTGAAAGCGCATAAGTTAACTTTGCACATGTTGATTCCGATGTTTAGCGGCATGCAACTTCTGTGCTCCTTTATTTCGTCTGATGCAGGGAACTGTGGAGGAAATTTGACAAATGAGACTGGTTCGCTATCATTCAACAAAACTTCTTTGCAAAATGCGTTATGCATTTGGAGGATAACTGTTGCGGTCGACAAATTAGTGGAGCTTCATATTGAAAAACTGGAGGTATCTTTAACTGTTGTGTTTCTGTTTTCATAATGATACGATAACTAACATTTGTGAGTATTTAGATAAGCAACACATATAGCGCAGCCACAAAGGATCTAGTTTGAAGTGGACTTACCTAAAACAGGCACTTTTGTACCAATTTGCTAACTCATGTTGCCCAGTATCTATGTGTATGATATATCAATTGCGTAATAATCCTACTTTGTAATGGCGTTTCATCCTCTAAATTGCAGTCGCTTTACAACAAAGTGCTATCGAATCATACCGTAGTGTGCTCATATTTCTGTTTACACATTCAAACATATGAAGCGGCTGCATTCGTATCCAGATTTTCCTGTCACCTTGACCTCCATGGGGAGAGCCACAGAATACCTGCGCACACAGAGAGGACGTGGGTGATTTGCGATGAACCATCCATATTTCTGCCCACCCACACCATATCCGGTGTAAACCCGAACGAATAAGACCGGGCGTCATGTGGATAGGAGCCACGTTTCACCATCCAAGCTGTCCCACAATGCATCAACAAGCAGAACAGAAGCATTCTGGCCTAATTAGGCAAATGTACTTCAGATCTACACACGGCGGTAGCTAGACCGTAGCCCGTTCCACCCAGGATCGAACCACTAGTTGATCCTAGCACCGTCACCAAGACGGTGTACCACGTCTCCTGCAGAAACAGGAGGGACAATAGTTGCGTGTTTTGTTCCAAATATCAAAATACAATTTGTTCGTACTGCAAGCATTCAAGCACTAGGAACCTTTTGATTCAAGAGTATCCACCGAACTAGAGATATACTCAATAATTTGCCACTTTGGGATTGATCCATATCAAGAAAACAATTCACTTTGAAAAACCGCGCCCACCTCAAATCGAATAAGGTCATGGACGGACTGAGCCATTGTTATGCGATGCACCGGCTCTCTAAGCGCCGTGCTAGTTAGCATTGGGCAGTTGGTCAATCTAAGGTCATATGATGTACAAATCGATTTCAAGGTGCAGAATGCAGAGAGCATGGTCTGGTGAGTAATACAGTGGAGATCACATATGGATGTGAATGGCAGCGGAAAAATAATACGCAGAGGAGGATTCCGTAGCTCACCGTCTCATTAGTGATTCACCAGACTAGCCCCTACTTGGGAAGATAGTAAGAATATGGTGGGTCATGATGAGTACAACATTGTAATAAGCAACACATAATGTCATCACTAATTACAACCAATAACGATGGGTTAGATGTGGCTCATCCGTTCTAGGCGGGTGCAATAAATGTACTACATGGCATCAAGTCAGTAGGTACACATTCTTAGGTGATATTGTAACCAAGCGCAACTTACATGCGCAATAGCACAAAGATGATACAAAGAAAAGAACGGAGATGAGATAACAACTTTCAAGTTAGAATGGAATTGGCGCGATTATTTTCAATGCTATTCAAAAACGCAGCTAAGGTAAATTTCGCAATAGAACAGCAATGATAAATTATTAGTGTGTGCCGGGAATGCCGTCACCAATATTACTAACTGCAGACTAGTCGTGTCGGAATGTATACCAGAGCCGCTCCCATCGTCCGTTGTCCGGGATGAGAGAGAATCAACAGGGATGTGAGACCAAAATATATGTACCTATATGTATATGCATCCCCAATACATATCCATAAATTGTGATATCTTTTTAGCTGCAAACCCTAAGTTCATCATTTCGAGTATTGGACGGGAATGACTGTGCAGCCGATGTCATATACTACCACCGGAGTTACGATGCAGCGGGTCCACTCAGTATCAATTCAACATCGAACGTGATGGTCGTCGTGCTTGCCGCGCCACTGGGACTATCTTTTGCAGAAGTCAAAGCATCGTACAAAAGCGGTATGTATCTCATCTTAATTCTGCCTTATATATGACAAGAAATGTGTTACTTTTAGAAACCTAAGTTACCCGCGTTCAGCTACGCGGAGAAGATCAGTTAGACAGCTTTTGTTAAACACCCAGAAAATTTCGTAAAATTAGGGAGAATAGGTTTACCATGTTTGTATCTGCAATGCAATTGGACGTCATGTTTCGACGCAACAGCAAATTGCATAGACTCGTATTGCTTGAGGATAGGCGTGGGGCAATTATTTGCTCTCACATAATTATAAAATAAGTGTTTACGTATTCGAAATGCTTTTCCATTGAATTACTAAGCTTTGCATGTTTCGTTAACCACAAACGTTCGCAGCATCAAAAAATCTCACCGCGCATTTTAGCTAGTACGATTGCCATTGCAACGGAAGGGCATGGCACATCTACATTCACATGGTAACAGCATAAATGTGATATCCGAAAATAGTATTTCTGATAATTTCGGAGACTTCATTGGTATAGCTCGTCAGTTTATTTGCTCAAATATGCAGCAGTCGCCCGGTTTGACCAACCGATAATTGCCACTATTGTCCAAATCACGCCTTCATCTAAAACGGATTTCATAGGCACTTAACACTCAAGATTTACAAAGCTAACCACAAGCAACCGCCTTTAAGACAACAGAGTCGACTACGGTAAGTCGGGACTCAAAAGAATACCACAAGGTAGTGCCAATCTTATTTAATGTCACACAGCTTGCGAACGTTATTTTATTTATATATACATTATCATCATCCTTATCAATTCATGTTCACTGGGGGAGAGACACCCACTTTAGATAATGTGCAGCAATATAACTGATAACACAAAGAAATTTCACTAAAAAGTAGATAAATCACACTAAAAGATATGATGTTAAATATTACATGCTGCGTTTTTCATGAGATCGGGAAAAGAAGAATATACTAAAGCCAGGGGGGACAAAGACACCAACAACAAGAACGCCAATGGGGCTGGCTCTTCGCCATATAAGCAAGTGTGTCCAACCAAATTTGTTTATCATTTTTGTGATCCACTTCAGTCAGTCAGGATCCACAAATCGATGCCAGATTCAAAGTGATGGTTTTCATTCCTCTCGAACAAGTCATCGCTTGACCTACCCTCCTCCTCTTCCAACCGTACTCATGGTGCGCAAACAATTCACGTCGCGGAAGTCGGTACCCTGACACACCTAATACGTGGCCCGGCTAACGGAGACTCGTGCGTGATATAATGGTGCTAAGCTTTTCACCCGTTCTTCCTGCACTAATTAGGCGACGTCAAACAAGCTCATTGCTCACGCGGTGTTCCGATCAAACATGAGCTAAGCTGCGAAGGCAGATATCGAATGTACCAAGCGTAGTTATTTTTGTGGACCTGATGGACGTGTGTAATGTCGCTTCTGAGCCAAAGGTGGCGGTGACTGGTATTAGCTCCTCCAGCTTTTTCTATGCGGTTGACCATCTCATCTTCTATCCCACGGGCTATAACAGAGCTGCGTAGATGTTTGAGGTCCTGACCGACCCCCAGCTTATGACCACATAACGTTAGCACAGTGATGGGTCCTTGCAAAACTAGAAGAAGTACTTATCATTTCTCTGGAGCAAAGCATAGTCCAAAACGATTGATAGCTAGTGCTAATCGGTCCAGTGAAGTCTGGCACCTTTGGACAATGTCACAGATTCGGGCAAAATCGTCCACGTGATCCAAGTCAAGAAGTCTCTCACCAGGAAATTGCTCTACATCTTGTAGGTAATGTAAGGCGAAAGCTGTTGCCTTGTCTTTAGCAAGAGCGAGGTTAAACTAGAAACATGACCGTAGGCTACCTTGTATCACATCGCTGGTGATACTGTAGGGTGGAAACATTTCGCCATAAACCCTAACGTTACCCCATAGACGTCCGTACAGCGATTTGATAATGTTTACAAGATTATCGGGTGCACGTTTCCTCAGCCGACAATTCCACAAAGCACATTGATTTAACGAATGAAATGTACATTTTATATTGAGGAATATGACAACTGTTGGTTGCCAATAAGCATGGCCATTTTCTAACAACGGAAGCAAAGTGAAGAGGTGGTCAATGCAGCCCCGACCTCGATGAAGCCATGCTTGCTCTTCACGGATTTGGCATTCACGAAGCAGGCTTTACCAATTTTGAGGCAATTGTGATCAGACTGTTCCCGCTATGGTATCCGCATTCCGCGCGGGATCATCCCTTAAAAATGGGAACTATGACGGAGAGATTCCAGCATATGTGGGCAATTTCTCACACCCAATGCTCTATCGGCAACTCGCGTAAATCATGTAAAAGAGCACGTCTCGCAAATTAGTGGACAGCCGAGGAAATTATATCTGCCCCTGCGGTCTTATGCAATTACAACAGTCTGATGTCAAGTTCTACGTTTGCACGTTAGAGCAGATCCTAGAAGACGGCCAATGTGAAAGTGTAATCGTTACATGAAAAAGAAAGCGATAACTCATGTTGGTTGAATTACCTTGCAAATTGTTAGGCCCAACGCTCTAAGCGTATGACAGGCTGTCGATCGGTTGTCCACTCACGTCGCGTATTGTCTTGCTAACACCAGGTCTCCTGTTGCATTTTTCCCGTATCAGACGGAATACCACGATAAATACCAACAGATGCAACTGCTTCTATTTCCGAGGTAAGATCAAACCACCAGGCTTCGTGGCCATTCTTCAGGCTAGCACGCCGTTTCACCCTGCGATTTTTACTAGTCTCATAGTCTTCTCATCCACCCGGAATACGTCGGCGATCATCCGTTAGTACCAGATACTTTGTAAAGTCCTAATGTTTAGTTTTGCAAATTCATTTGTCACATGAAGACAACCCTGAGGATAATAACGCTTGGCGAATATGTTTCCAGTGATCTTCGACGGCGCTCAGTGAACACTTACTCAGCCCGAATGTTCGCGCACTTTGATACACATTCAGAACACCTGGCTTCGCCATATGGCTGGTATTAATTTGTTCATATAGACTTTGCGGACGGCCAACAAAAGGCACGCGGAAGTCGCCGCAGACAAGTGCGTGTTCAGAGTACACACATGAGCGAAAGTTTTGGACAGTGCCATTCCAGCGGTAAATAATGGCGATACCATTGATTTGCGTCCATAGCCGTTACGGGGTTGGTGAGCGCCAGATCACGCATCTACGTGTGCTGTGTTGGAAATTGTGCTCGCAGGAAACAGACGAGCATCTTCACATAACTCTAGCGATCACGCACCCTTATCGTTACGGCAGCCTACGACATGTTGGCCCCCCAGATGAAACTCATCAGAAGGACAAGTTTTATACTTGGTCGTGTAGATCGCCAGCCAAAACCACAGTATCCGTGCTTCTTCTGGTAAGTAAGTGATCGTAACTTTGCTGAAATAAATCGTCGTTCGTCGAATCAATGCTACAGTTCGTAGGAGTTTAGACCACAATGAGGAACAGGCACCGTTTGTTCCCATGCGACTTCGTAGCGGGGAAGGAAACAGCAATTGTAATGGTGCATATGCGACTGTTGGGCTGGATGCGATCGATCAGGACAGCTTCAGACCGGGGACACAAAACATTGCCGACATCTTGACCGGCATTTGAAGCTGCCTTATCTCCTGACTTGCGCAATGAGAATGTACCGCCACTGTCACATGTGGGGGATCGCATGTTAAACACGGAGCTCGAATATTGCGGGCTGCTTTCTGATAAACAGCAAGTATTGATGGATAGGGTTTCTATTTTACGGGCAAATGATGCCTGTTGGCCAATCTGTAGCAAAGCGCGCAAGTTGAATTTTGCCAGTATTAGCTAGGCTCGAGGACTCCAATGGAATACCAATGAACTGATGTTGTAATTTTGGTTGAACATGGACTTATCGAATGGATTGAATCGATGGTCTGTGACTGTGTGTGAGTTAAAACTAGTAGGCAATCGACTATTGAAGCAAGGTGGGGGAGGGCTAAGTATCGGGAGATTGAAAATGGGGATAAAACTAAATTTAGAGCGGGATGCTAATGAGGGAAAAGCTCAGGAAGGTGGATATGAAGACGGGAAGCCCTGAGCACTATCATCCAAACCCCTGTACACCCTGCTCGATGCAGCAGCTAGGGCGACGTTGATTATCCACTGTGACGGCCAGATCATCAATATATTGTTAGAAGTATAGTGTATTGCATTGCATTGACAGAATACTGTCAGGTTGCCCAGGCCCATACAGGAGAAACACTAGATTTTTCAACCGAAACTCTTGGTTCAAAACCTTAACACAGGGAAGAGGGGTTTTGGCGCTGGACTAAAAAGAGCCCGTATTATGGAGTTAGGAGCCACTCGCACTCCAAAATCCAACCTGGTGAGCCGTGAGACTGAGTTTCTTTGGCTTTTAACCATTGACCAATCTGGTATGAGTGACTCAACTAGCACAAAATCACCACCCAACATTGCTCAATGGATCACTGAGCCATACAAACCAACACAAAGTGTTAAGGACCATTCTCGTCGCGTTTCATATATTTAACTAGCGGAAAACATAAAGAGTCAGTAAAATAAAAGGGAGCAAGTTGGTAACACTGCCATTATATTTGCCTATTCCACAGAAAAATATCTGTACCTGATTAAAATGGGTTCCGTTTATTCAATACGCGGTCAATTTCATACACTTTTCCTATATGGCAACACTTTAGCATTTTTAGAATAATACTTACCTAAGTATTTGAGCAAAGTACTTGAATCGTTAATATGGAATACAGTTGTCCTGTCGATTGACGATGGTCAAAATCTACTAGTCAGATTCCGAACAATCATGGCCATCCTTGTCCAAAATTATGTTTCGATGGTGTCTCTGAAATACTCATATATACCCATACTCATATATACCCATATATTCTTAAACATTTCACTACTGGACGCAATATTCACACAGCTAAGACTGGTTCGGAGGCTAAATGTGAAAAAGCCACACGTGAACACTGGTCAGTGGCTGGTACTTAAATTTATAATTTTCAACGATGTGGGCAACCCGCATCAAGGAACTTACAAATTCACGTGGACGATAAAGTTATTACGGTAAATCACGAGACAAGTTGAGAGATGTTTGCGTGTTAAAAGCTATATCAATATACGAGGAAATATTTCTGTTAAAGTCAGCTAACTCTCATTTGCTCGTATTGCTGTGAATACAGATTCATGGGATTAATGGAGTTTGAATTTCTTCCTATATCATAAATAGCCGCCACGCACGAGCGTAGTCAAGTAACCTTTATGCGGCATATTGACCGGAACATTGACCTTCACTCAGAAGAAAGATTTGATGAATAAATCCAAAAGCATAAGCAACATTTTCTCTATTCTTATATCGCTTGCATCAAAAAAGAGACTTTACGATTTCCTACTTACTGCACCATGTTAACTTTTACTTCCATTACACCAACAACCTCGACAGTTCCCAATCGCAATTTCACGAACACTACAACACCGATAGAGACCACGGTCACAACAACAACTGTTGGGGTGATTTCATCATCACGTAAGTCAGTCCCATGCTGCTTATCGGCAAATTTAAAACATGTGTCCCCTCTTTCGCAACTACGTTAACAGAGAATAAGCAAATGACACAGGAGGTTGGAAAGCGGCAGAAAGCTTTTACTTCGGTTTATGTCAATTGATTACGTATTTCAGCGAGTTCTACGCTGTAACTATTTGATTCTGAGGTATCCGTGTCAATTTTAGACGAATAGGTCAGTGTTGGCAAATGTGTGTGGACTTTGACCTCACCTAGTAAACACTTGCATCCTTGGCCTCAATCTTTTGCAGTCATTATAACACTTGTATACAACCACTTTCATCGGAGAATTGGGGAGATAAAATTGGGAAAGTAGTATATAGAAAAAATTGAGCTTCAATTTGGTACGCTGTGGTTCAACCGTTTCGTATCTCTAATTATGATATAGCATGAAGAAGTTTTGATTGGTTGTTCGATGGTGTTTCGCAAGCAAAATCATTAATGAAAATAGACTTTGGAGAGCATTTTGGTGCAGGCAAAACTGTTGCGACCTGTTCATCCATTAACCAAACGAAAAAAAAGAACAATATTAGGTTTTAAGTTTAATATGTAGTTTACACATAAACGTAAACTAAATTTTCGTGTTGAAATCTATTATTCTAATTGGGAAATATCGACAATTAAATTCTACAGGAAAGATACTGCATAAAACGAGTCAACCCTGTGAACTACACATTTGCATATAAACCTGACATATCAAGATGTTATACAGCAGTATCATTTGGTTGCAACTGTGTGGACTACTTAGATCTATACTCTACGCGCCATATCTTCACATTTGTAGCTGTGCGAGTTTTGAGATTTCACTGACACGCTGAATTTTGTAGTTTACTATATATAACCAAAGTTATATGATTTTGTAAATTTAATACCTGCGTGTACGCCACGTTTTTATCCACTAGTTCCGCATACCCATCGCATTTATATCCTAGCAATCTATTTGATACGACGAAAGAGCAGCAAACGATTCAAGCTCCTGTCGTTACTTTGCTTGTTAAATTACATTCGACAAGAGACGAATCAAAAATTCGAAGTAATACATGCTTCTTCGAGTAAACAATGTGGTCGGGGATGGCGTTTTCGAGGCTAAGTATTTAAATATGTTGTTTGGATCAATGTCTGACAAGTTTGATTTAACAATTTTGCACGCAATGCCGGGCGAAAATCAAGACTTATGTTATGGAATGTTGCGGAAAGAAACTAAATTTAAACTTTGTTCCATACGCTTAATGCGTCAACTCAGTCCGAATAAATAGTCCTAACGATAAAGTGAATGAGCTCCAAAGTTAAGTGTACCGGCTGAGTAGGTTTATAGTTCAAACATAAGTATTATAAAATCTAAAACACCATGATCATAAAATCATTACGCAGACAGCAAAACCATGTACTTCACTCTCGCAAAACTAGTGCTGGTATCTAGCAATTGACCAAGTACTCCTCACTTAGTTGTGTTAACCTACATTACTAAAGTAAAAAGCATACACAAATGGAGCAATAAGTCGCGATAATTGCAATTTAAACTTCATTTACAGTGAGAAAAGAACAGCAAAACATTTGGAATAATTACCCGCATCGAAGACTTGACAGATGTATGATTATTAAGAGAAAACACACCTTATTCCTATTTGCCTACATGTCAAAATATTATATCCTAAGCGGTAACTCAAGCATTATTCTGACTTATTCAAATTTCTGTTCATGATACAACCAATGCGAACATTTCATAATCTTTCTTTCATGATCACTATATATATATATGTGAAATAAACTTTCGCCACGGCTGTTGATCCCTCGTCTTCAGCATCAGTTGGGTTCGGCATAAGGGGCTTTCAACATGACAAAAAAATTGTGTTTCTACATGTAGTACAAAGGCACCGAATCATGTTTCCTAACTAACCTGGCAAAGAGGATAAAGCTTCAGTGTTAACTTATTACGTTAGCGCATTTCCTCATATTAAATATCTCAACATTTTGCTCAATTTTCTAAGGAGTAGATGCATACCGGAGGTGGTAGGTCACTGAAGCATTGTTGGCACGTCCATAGCTAGTTTAACGTAAGCTAATCAAATAGCCAAAAAAATATCAGTTTACACTAACAACATAGTCTATTAATCCTGAGAAACAACATGTGGGATCCATCGCTTTCATGGACGTCCATGTACATTAATGAGGGGGTGTTTGCAATTACGATCGCCTTCCAACTTTACCTTTTGCGGTTTCACGATCAGGACCTTTACTGAACGTGAAATGGCATAAATTCTCCGCTCATAATAATTATCACATTGACTAGAAAAGAAACCATGAGGAAACTACACCCGAAAGTCTCATTCTTGTTGACTGTTATATATGTTATATCGAAATATTAAATAGCCCCGTCATGGAGCTTTGATATTAAATTGTAAACATTGTCACTCTTTAGCATCGTCGGAACAGCCAGAAAATGAAATCACGTCACCTGTGTCCAGTTCCACAACAGAACAACCTGAAACGTCAACTTCAAGCGGGGATATAATTGCAACAACCGGCGAGTTTACCCTTATGTTGACGCAATACCTCCTTTAGAATTGTGTTGACAAATCATGTTAGAGTGCCTACGAATTTATTGATCAATTACGCCCAACATCACTACCTTAAAATTTAGTAAATTAGAGCATTGAATCTTGACCTTCCAACTACAACAGCCAGTCAGAGCTTGTTTGCACTATTGCACATTTCGGTCTACCTGAGTGAATTTTGACATCAGGCAAGTATTAGTAATTGTTTCCGTGTATCTACCGTAGTTTCTTTCCCACTATCTATTTTCAAAAAAAATTGATTAACAGATTTCACTTTCAAATAACTTTACACGTAATGGCTCTAAGCATTGAAAACCACAAATAAAACACTCAAATTATGATCCTAATTAAGTAATACCACGCTACCCAATATCAAAGCATCGGTATCTGACCAGATGGATTTAAAAGCTTACACTCAGTTACCCTGAGCATACACGCTCTTGCATGTTCTGCTATGGATTACAAGCGGTATGCTGTTTGTATGTATAGATTCTTGGAGATACTTTATAAAAATTCATATTGCTAAATTTCCCTACGGTGTAACAACCAATGAGTACAGTTCTCATCCCCACGTATGTAAGCAGTAGTGATGTGATAACGCTTTCTGTTACAAAGACAAAAACAACTACAACAACGAGAACAAAAATAACAGCTAATTTCTCCACATCCCTGGGTAAATGTCATTATGTGAAATTGCTGAATAACTCACGCTCCTTATCCGCAATGAGCTGATAATAACGTAATAGGTTAATACGAGGCAAGAAGTGATATCATATAGTTGTAGAACATAGATTGTAAAATACTAAAGTTATAGAATAGACTGTGGGGCGGTAACGGTTTAAAGCAGTGGGCTTTAAACCCGTCTAACGCCATAAAACATTATATATTAGGTGCGCTGAGACGGGTAACACGTAGCCCAGTCATCGGACCCTAGTGAGTAATAGCAGTGGCTGTCTATCGTTTCGGGCTATGTTTTGCTCCATCGAAATGAAAAGCATATCTCCAAGACTGACAGGGAGCCAGCATTGCGCTAACGCTTTTATGATCAGCTAGAACTCATTCAGGAATCCAAATAACTAGGCAGCCATATTAGAGCCCATGGGATCGAAGTTGCAAGTAGGAACAATAGAGCAAAATCTCTGGGTGCTTGTGCCAATCGCCGCCATCGGTGACTCAGAAGCGGCATTATACTCGCCCATCAGGTCAACAAACAAAAGCAGGCTTGGTACATCCGGTAGCTGCCTTCGCAGCTTAGCTCATGTTTGATCGGAACACCGCGTGAGCAATGAGCTTTTTTGACGTCGCCTAATTGGTGCAGGAAGAACGGGTGAACAGCTCAGCACCAGTATATCACGCAGGAGTCTCCGTTGGCCGGGCCACGTATTAGGTGTGCCAGCGTACCGACTTCCGCGACGTGAATTGTTTACGCACCGTGTGTACGGTTGGAAGAGGAGAAGGGTAGGTCAAGCGATGACCTGGACGAAAGGAATGGAAGCACTCGCTTTGAAACCGGCGTCGATTTTTGGATCCAGACGGCCTGGACTTGGTCACAAGGACGTTGAACACATTTGGTTGGACACACTTGCTGATATGGCCAGGATCTGTTCCCAGTGGCCCACGAGCTTTTAGTTCCTTGGTCCATACCCATCCTGTTAGCCTCCCACTGCAATCACCATATGATTCCCTAGGCATAATATAACTTGCTGCATGATAACAGGCCGTTAGCTCTCCGGAACAATATCCATCCGTTCCTGGGGACTCAGCTGGCGTGTCACTGTTGTATTATTCTCTTCTTGTCTTTAGCGTTGTGGCGCAATATCTGATGTGCTTTCCACCTGCAGGTAACGTGCATTATAGTGCTCATGATGATGCGTCGCATAATGACGCAGAGGGTTTCACTCTGCTCCTGCACCAAATACGCGACCCCGTACGCGCTCATTGCTCATGCGGTGGTCCCACCAGTCATGAGCTTAACTGCGAAGGCAGCGAGGATCTAACGTGGCCAACCTTTTTATGTCTGTCAGCTTAATGGGTCAGGATTCCCAACCATATAGGAGAGTTGAACGGACAGCTGCGTCGGGAACTCTGCCCTATAGGGCGAGGGAAACGCCGCGTCTTAGCCACAGTTGGCGGGGATTGGCAAAAGCACCTCCAGCTTTTCCATACGGTTAGCAATCTCTTCTTCGACGTCTTTGGTCCTCATGAACCTGCCCACGTACTTGAATTCCTGAACGAATTATAGCTGATTACCACAAAACTTTAGCTCAGTGTTGGGTCCTTGCAAAGCTTAGAGAAGTACTTTACATTTCGTTGGAGCAAAACATAGTCCAAAGCGATTGACAGCCAGTGCTAATCCGTCCAGTGAAGTCTGGAACGTTTGGACAATGTCACAGATTTGGCCAATATCGTCCACATAATCCAAGTCAAGAAGTCGCTCACCAGGAAGTAGTTCTACAACATCTAGTTCTTGTCAAGAGAACGCCGTTTACATGGTTTCAACAATAGCGAAGTAACGATGAAAATAAACAGCAGGCAAACATGTCACACATCGCTGGACGCATTGAAGTGCGGCGACATTTTGCGATAAACCCTAATTTTGCCAGTACTAGGCGCGTACAGCGCTTTGATAATGTTTCCTTATTTCTAACGCAAAACTTTTTTCAGCAGACAGTCACAAAGGCACATCAAAACACCGAATCGAAGGCACATTTGAGATGGAGGAACATGAAAACTCTGGGTCGCCACTACATTTGGCGGTGCTCCAACAATTTAGACAAAGTGTATATGTGATCGACGCAGCCCCTACCTCGACGAAACCCGGATTGCTCTTCACTGATCTGGCTTTAAAGGATGGCAGTCAGTCTCTGGAGAATTACTGACACAAGGAATTTAGAGGCAATTTAAATCAGACGTTGCTACCAAGGGAACCGTAGGAGGAAATGTGATTTACATATCTCGTAAAATAACCTATTCCACAGTTTGATATAGTGAGCTATAAGTACATGGAATTTAATCTGCTGTGTCAACTTAAGATCGTCGGGCACTTGGGCAGGTCACGCGCAAAAAGTACATTAGTTGCACTGTATAAGAGCATTTTCTTAAATTAACACCACACTCATCTGCAGTCCGAATACCACATAACTGCGCAAAAAGATTATACAGTAAATACCAAAGCAGTGGTATGTGTTAAGTTATTACATATCTTATTCCTTACTATTTAATTAAATCATGACAACGTCGAATGCATGGTTAATATGGACATTAAAAAACCTGTGGTTGAATTTGGTAAAAAAAACCGTCCGCATATTTGCACATAAATGCATAGCAAATTGACGACTTTTGATACTCAAGCATCGACAATTTAAACAAATGGCAGTTTTGGCCCATAATGCTTGGCTTTGTTTGCTAGCTTAGTTAGGTACTTTCTCAAGATAACATTGACGATTTAACCGTTAGATTTCAAAAAACAAAATCCAAAAATTAAGTGATTGTGGCCAACCTAAACACTGCAGTATGAAAACCACAGGCATACCTTTAGACAAGAGAGGACAGAATGAATATCCACAGTTAAGTTTCAATGCGCCATTTCAACTAGGAAATACAAAATGCTTTCAATGTAGACGGATCTGCTATTTACTTACTTCTAGTTTAACGGGTGTTCCTCATATACCGTAAAAAGGCTACAGTGAAATCCGCGAAAGCAGTAAAATAACTTGTCTAAAATGTGTGCGTCAGAACTATTCAGCCTTCAGAATTCATCGCTTATTTCCTTCCTTACAATGTCCAGAATGGAACAATAAAACAATGAAACAGTGGTTTATTACGGGTAGAAAAGCATTGCTTAACAAGTCCCGTATATGGAAATGGTTTCGAAAATGGAATTACATGATATAGTGAAAAGCGCTTTGTTGGACTCACCATAAACTTATGTAGAACAGCGGAGATATTCTCGTATTAAACGTATACACTCATAAATCCATTATTTGGGAGTTTGGCAAGTCAAAGTTTGAGTGCGTTTTGTAACCCCTGGCTAATAAGTCAAAAAATTAAATGGAAATAGAACAATACAGCGTCAACTCGTTTTTAAATTCCGCCAGATTTGGTACAGAGGTAACATAAATAGTGAGGGCGTTACAAGGCTGGCACATGTGTAATGAAGAGAAATTTCTACAACATTCAAGCCGGCTATAATGAATAATCAGTTTCGAAGGGTGACCTCTTAGGTTAGTGTTGTGCTTTAATTCCTGCAGCAGACGGCAGTTGTGGTTTGGATTCTTCAGAATTTGGTAAACGCTTATGAGATCCCCCTGCAGAAGCCGATGTCCACTGCTGTACATCCTCAGAGATTACAGTCTAAGCTGATAGGACAGATGGAAGAGGCCCCTGACGTTTCTGCTTGCCCTTCGTTGTGGATTCTCAAGGTCAACAAGATCCTGTTTCTGCCACGGCTGCCAAGCCTGAATAGTATATTCCACTTGAGGTAGCACGTATGCGGTAAGCATTTGGGAAAGACTGAGGGTTCAGACTGACCGAAGACTTTGCGAAGAATGGCCGAGGTATTTATTGCTGGTTCTCGTCGCCTTCTCTGCTTATTTTGAACACTCGAGATCTTGCTGCACCAATACACCCAGGTTACGCTCCTTAGAAACCTACTACAAGGTGTTGTCTCCAAGCTTGTAAGCGATCACCGGCTGGTGAAGCAGACGCATCATCTTGCACTTGGCTACGTTCACTTGAATCATGTTCCTCTTTGACCATTCCTAAATGCAATCTAGTTCATGTTGGCGTAGATCATGATCCAGCTTGTTATTAATCGCCCCCCATATCTTGAAGTTATTAGCAGAAAGCACGAAAACGGAGGAGAAAACTGCTTCCAGGTCGTCGATAAACACTAGGAATAATCGCGGTCCCAGCACTTAACCTTATGTCACACCACATTCCACCTCAGTTGGATTAGGGAGCGATCCCTACACGTAGTTGACACATCCGTTGTTAAAGGAAGCTGCCAAAACAACCAAGTACAGGATCTCCCATTCCGTGTCTCTGTATTCTTTGAAGTAGTATGCGGTGGTCCAGGCGGTCGAAACCTTTGGAGGAGTCCAGATAGATGACGTCAACTTTGACGCCATTATCAGCCACTTCTGTCCAACTACCTAGTGCAATAAATGGGTTGGTGGTGCATGACCGGTGTTGGCGGAAGCCCTGCTGCTCCGGTATCAAGATGTTGCATTTATCCAGCTAGTCCATTAAAGCCTCAGCGACGACTGCTTCCATCATCTTTGCGAGCACAGGGAGGAGAGTCAATGGGCGATAGCTTGCTGGATCAGCGCGCCTAGAGCTTTTAAAACTAGGTTGATAATGTCACCCTTCCACATAGTAGGGACTTGTTGTTCATCAAAGCACCTTTGGAAGAACTGTGACAGTGGTACAGCTAGCTGGTTGGCCACAGACTTCAGTGACTTCGGGCGGATGATGTCTGCACCTGGAGAACTATGCTGACACAGTGAGAGTAACTTCCTTAGCAAAAATGATAGGTTGAAAATTACATGTGTAAAATGTGGAGTCGGTAATGTGCATGACATTATGGGACAGGTAGAAGCGACGAGCTCGAAAACTGGGGCGTATTGTAGCCGCAGGGCATTAGCTGATTCTTCTGCGCCTTGTACTCTACCGCCTGTCGTGAAAAGTAGAGGGATTCCATGCTTCAATTTAAGAAGCTTATTGACACGCATATATAGTGGTTTGTTGTTTGCCATGAATTTGTTTAGCTAAGCACTGTTGATAAGTTAATATTCCTCAAGGAAAAAGGTTGTGCAATGGTGGCCATGTGTCAGGAAATTGCTCCAATACTCTGAGTTGGGGTTAATCTTGTGGGCTCGCCATGCTGTAACCCTTATCGCCAGGTATTTTCGAGTCCTGCTCCTTGGCATAAAAGGCTATTTTGCGGGACGGTGGGGTTGGTTCTCTGATCTGTTGATGATGTTGCTGGATCTATTAACAAACTCTGTTCAAACGTTGTCAAGATGACTGTTGTTTGAGAATTCCCAAGCAGCTGCGTAAGCGAGTTTTGCGACACGTGGTAGCGTGTGACTGTATAAGTTAATTCCGAGTGTTTAGATGGCTTCTCTGTATAACATATATAGTTGAACGTTATTACTACATCGTCACTGAATCCTAATGGGCTATCTATAAATAACTTGTCAACCGTGAGATCTTTATTCGTGAACAGGAGGTCTAATCTAGACGGTTTTTCTGCTGCCTGAATCTAGCGGGCGTGGTGACATGATTATACAAGGGAATATTAGCGATCGGTTCATGCAATTCTGCTTTGAACTGCTCAATGGGTGTTGCCGAAACCTCAGATTGTGTAGAATGTAGTCCCCGGAGATGAGAATGTGGCTGTACCTAGTGAGTGTTATCCTGTTCAGGCCACGGATCAAGCTGGAATCCATTTCCTTAGTGGACGTTGGGGGGGTTAAACGACAGCTTGGAGAAATGCGTCCTTGTGTCTTAGTCGGATGTCTGGAAAGATACGGATGGAGCAGTGTTCATTTCTGAGTTTACCTGTCGACAATAATACTGATTATACTTCAGTGATGGAGTTCAGCACAACACGCAGAAGTCTTGGCTCTCCGAAATGTTTAGAGTTGGAGTGTCGGGTAATAAGCATTGCCGGTTCAGGTTTCAATACAACTCAGATTAGGTTACTAATAATATTCCACTGGTTGAGGTCATCAAACTGCCTGCCTCTTATTGATGTCGACTTTGATTCTGGGATATTGGAGCACAGTACACTTAGTACAGGTAGTTGTTTCTTTACACCTTTCGACATGTCGCGGTTAGTGATTGAAGTACCCGGAGATGTGCCGCAGGAAACCGGTGGTGCTTCCTCTAGGAATACTCCGCTACGCTCCTCAGTTTCAGATCCAGTTGATGTTGGTTAATTTTAAATGACGGCTCTTCTTAGAGGCAACCGTAACCCAACTTTGGCTAGCAACGGCTTGCTCTTTTTCTACGCACTCCGTCGCGAGTTTCGAAGTAGCATTACGTGTAGTTACTCCGATCGAACTGGGAACCGCTTTAGTCAAATGTGAGCTACATGTGGTATTCTGACAGCTGTTGATGTTCTGGACTCTAGATGTCGTGTTGCTTACGGCGTTATTGGTAGTTCTTCGCGGGTTAGGAGCAGAAACCAAGGGAGAGGATTGGGTTTCACAGTCCGCCATGCTTACTTCAACCGTAGTGATTTTGGTGGTCACCATTTTCTCAAACTTAGCTAGTAGCTGGTCATATTTGTGAGATAATAGAAGCACACTTTTTATCAGTGGGATCGATGTGCTTTCCACACAGAACCATAGCAAGACCGTTTTGTTTACTAACTTTCCTTGACTAGGTTTAATTCGGAGGCATCTGGCATGGAAGAACTTGCAACAGTTACGGTACAAAATGCCCCCTTACCAAGTTTGGAACATGATCAACATAGGTCAATAGACTGTGGAACCCTGGGCATCGCGCTTGTTGAGCATATTTTACCAGGCATTTGAGTGACTCACCCACTATAATAATTTACGGTGCACTGATGCCATCGATGCAAATTATTGAAAAAATAGAGTAAAGCTTCATTAAAGAACAGGTTCTCCATAACAGCATAAAATACGCAGAAAGTACCTGGAATTGTTCTGGACCACAAATATTACAGATTGTCTTGTTGCAATTTAAGTTATACTGATTTATGAGAAGCAGGTTGATTTGTTCCTTGGATTGTGTTAACTTGATGCATTATTCCTAATACCTTTATAAGAATCCGACACTCCGCGTTTTACTGAGTATAGATATCGTAATCCATCATTTTATTCGTTTCTTTAGAAATTAGTACAAGGAATTCTTGTCACGTATCCTTTGTGGGTAAAGAAAATGGAACGATGATTGGCTACGCAAACAAAAGCAATTTTGACGTTAAAGGATTTTGTAATTATGCGATGGAAGTTAGCGAAGGTAATCAGGTCAACTTAACCTTCGAGATTGTCAAGGTAAGCTATGGGTTGAATTGCGCTGTGATGTAATATAATTCTGTGTGGGGAAGAAAATTAATCAATCAGGTCGAATTACTGCGAGCTCATGGATGTCAGGCACATCACTTCACATCGATCTCACTTGAACCAACTAGGTTCCGCTACATGCGTTATCTAGAAAAGCTGGTGTTCTAATTTTCTACAGAAATATACCTGGTTGTCTTCTAGTATCATTCTCATCATTTTCTGCTTTCAATCATATTAACAGCTTTATTGGTAATGTCCTATTCACGAGTATGATTTTCTCATAATAGCAGTAGCCTCTACGAGCAGATGCAGATTAAGCTATTCATTCGGTTTGCGGTTGGATTGGCAGTGACAGCTACAGCAACGGTTTCAAACATGCCACATCCTAAATACATGCGGGCAAGTAGGTCAGAATTCTGCTGTTCTATGACCGTTTCGTTAACTAAGCAACTGCAGTACTCGCGGTACTGAGGTGTGTCAAGTGTTGTTTCAGTTCCCTGTACTAACTTTGCTTAGCCAATTCCGATAACTAAGTTCCAAATCCGATGCTAAGCACATGATTTTGTAGTTCGCTAAAGATAGAAAATAAAGGAAGAATGAACATAATTCTCATCACATTTACGGCGGTATACTTACACGTTCTAATACCAGTTTAAGAAACGTGAGCTATCTATCACTCATAATTTTATAAGCTGACAAAGTACATTGATGCCGTGATTCACTGATAGCAGCTGGCATGGTGCAAATTTTCATAATAATGTTTGGCCAAGGAAGTAAGGATACATGCCAAGAAAACGCTACTGGCTCTCTCAGAATGATATTATGATAGAAGTTTCTAATACATATGAAAATGACTGGGACCGAAATAGGGAAACGCCAGGTTGCTGGTGATAAGGAAGAGATACAATGGCATCAGAAGAAAGTACATATATCCGGTAGTATTAATCGAAGAACAGTTGCTTTTATAGCAGTTATAATAGGGTAGGTTAAAAGCACCTGTCAATTTCAACGCGTTTCATGCAGCGATGTAATTTGGCTTAATGCAACGAGCCGACGACGCGGAAAACAAAGGATTTTATCAAAATATTTAATGCTCGGTTCACCTAATGTTTAACCAAGCGACGGCAAACAGTTTATTAAAACGCAGGGTTTGTGTCCGTCAGTCATTCCTACATGTTAGTGAGTCACCCGAAATATTATAACATCTAGCTTTGTGCTCTCGGGTCGCATAATGTTAGTTGAGGCAAAACACTATAGTTATATAGTTGGTTTAGGATCGTCTTATTTGCGATACAGACTCCAGCTAATAGGCATACATAAAGGAAGGCCTTTTTATACACTAATAACCTTAAGCATAGCTGGTATTTTCCAGCTTGAAACAAACATTAACCCAGCTGGGCGATCTTATTGCGCATAGTGCAAGAAGCCTAGTAGCACTGCCTTGTGTTTTCTGAGATATTGCATGGTTTCCTCCGCACATATTATATAATGAAATAAGAATAGTTTTGCATGAAGTATCCAGCCTCAAAAGCACTGAAAATTCTTATTGTTCAAGAAATCCTGCGGACGGCCAGCGGAATTATATGAGAGGTGCCCAGAGCTGGAGATTTAGGGATGGTTGTCTGGTGCAGGTGAAGTTACGTTCCCTTTATTCCGGTATTCTATGTCGCTGAATTGAGTGCATTCGCTTCACAGGCTAGTAGTAGTTATTATCATATATTAGCCACCATGGACAATAACACGTCTTTCGTTATTCGCATAATTTACTGAAGCTCTGCCACATGTATGCTCCGAAGAAAGGTAAATATTTATTCATCAAAGCATTAAGACGTCGTTGACATCGAAATGTTCCATCTAAGTTTTCTGTAAAACTAAATTTTGTTTTGACCAATGGACCCAGAATAATAACTTTTGGGTGAATTTAAAAATTCTTCTTCCTTTTTTAGTTCTATTTTTAATGGTTCCATCAAATTGACTTACAGAACAACTGACCACTTTCGCATTCGTGTGAAACGGCTGCAGTCCAGACCTCGTCATACGGGTAATAAATTAAACAAATTCCACACGACTTTTGAGGTTAGGAAAGCTGAAACTTTCTCTAACTGCTCTAATCTCCCTAGGGACATCAAGGATGCACTGCTACTGGTAACAAAGTATTGTGTAACTCCGCATGTAAAGTTGGTAATGCACTACGCAGTGAATCACAAAAATTGAAACATTTTAACGTTTATGGCAGAGAAACGTTGCCTTAGTATATAACACGTCGAAAACTTTTCTAGTTTTCTATCCATAAAATATAAACGCATCCCAATGTTGGTTGATTTGGACGCACAAAGAAAATTCATAAATGGCAGCAGGACGCACTTTTATGTACCCAGAAGCTACCTTAAAATACGCACAAATTTGGCATGCCATTGTAATTGCCTCTTGAGAAATTCTGCAATTCCCAATGGCACGGACATTAGTAGTTTATTAAGATTAGACGGGTTTTATCCGCACGAAACCAAAAAGTGTTATCAGTCGTTTTATATGTTAACTGTTGCTCGGAAAGTCGTGATAAGCAATTACCGCTTTACATCTGAGTTACGAAGTATATGTTCTGCAACGCTTATTTTACAAACATGTTATTGATTTAACTTCCTTGCTTTTACACTACTGAAACTCTCAAACGTTATCTCTTGAGTTAGTTTGAATACTTCACCTTTGCTATCTACATTGCGGTATTAATGTCCAATCTTATTCCAACAGCTGGAGCGTGAAGGGATTTCGCTGAAGGACTACATCGTGATATTTGACGGTCCAGATTGCATGTCTAGAAGAATCAGGGCAGTACATGACCAACAAACTCCGCGATTTATATCCTCGGGGAACCGAATGGCTGCCCTTTTCATATCAAATAGCCAATCCGAAACGGTTGGGTTCAAGGCCCGATTCTACACCGGTAATCCAAATAGCTTATTTGTAAATTAGGCAGATAAATACTATGCGGATGATAATTTGTCAGACACATCCAATAATATCTTTAAATGACTGATATTTCTAACAGTCTTAATGATCCAGTTCTTCCAGCCTTACGTGTTGCATCTAATATTCCACGGCTCTTTTACCAATTAATTTCTAAAACCATTGGTTTCATCGCTGCTCATAGTTTACTTTACTGGATGTATAATTCGGTTAGTTAGCTTTAACCATATTGTAATCAATCTTTTTCAGTAACACTAATAATTTTTGCATTTAGAAACGTTAGTCTAAATGTACATCTAGTGTAAAGCCGAACAAGCTAGGTTATGTCGATTACTCAATTTTAGTGGACTAATGCTCTACTACTGTTTTGGCAAATACACGTTGTATGATTAGAAGCACTAATCTCTGCCCGGTCAACAATATTAATAACAAACGCAAAATATTACCTTTGCTATTGCCTTTAAAGTTGACTTCAATGCTAATAACTTTGCGTTTATCAAATATCTGCAAACTATTTATCATTGCAGGGCGACCCAAATTATTTTGACAAGTATGCGCAATTTGTGTTGCACCCAAAGTAAAAGTTAACCGTGTAGTGCGGAATTCGCACGGAAATCGCAATGAAGAAAGATAATCAGCCATGAGTATTCTGTTAGTTGCATGCTACTTAATATGGCAGGGTAAACTAATTTTATAAAGTTTGTATGTTATTCAGGAATATTTAGCAGTGATATTTATTACAGCTTTTACTGGAATATGATGCTTCACACGTCAGTACCATACAATGTACGAATTCTTGCCATATCTAAATTTAAAACGTAATCCAGTATCCACTTTCCCTCTTTTTTCCAATCATTTCCAGTTACTGCGCAGAGTAAGTAAAACAAATATTTTGCATTAATCGTGCCTGCATTTACCTATACTCTAACCATAATAACATAAGCCATGCACAAATATTTAATCATTTTAAATGTCCACTGCGTACATCTAAATCATACTTGTTGATGCTCCTGATTTCCCATCATCTATTGTTAGTGTCTTAACTAGCAGCTACATGAGGCTACTTGCTCGCATCTCATGGATCTTCGATGAAGAATTATTAAATTGCAAACGCTTTCTCGCTTGTTTTTACAGATGCAACGAAGCCACTCCCACCGAAGGGTTAGTTGCGTTTAAAACTGATGTTTGTTACTTGTCCTAGTTTTCAATAATTATGAAAATAAAGCATCCGCGGAATTGGTTTTAACTTTGCAGCTAATACTGAATATTGTCTTTTGATACTATGCATTTTGCAGCAGTAAAAATCCGTGATTGCATTACTTTCAGGACGAAATCTGATACTATGTGAGTTTCAGCAATCCATGTTTATATTCTCTATTTCGCTTTCAATGGATGCACCAACTTTCCTTCACAAAACTTAGATGGTCTTATCCGAGTTGTGCAGTTACTTAGACCTGTGGTATATTTAACAAAAAGTTTAGCATAATTTTGACATACAGAAATTAGTGTTGTTAGTCAGTATCACCATGCGTTTTAGAAAAGCTTTAGAGACAGAATTCCTATGTCGCCTAACTGAATTCGTACGCAAGTAAGTAAAAGAAACCGTAAGAGAAGTGCTGAGGTGTCGCTCAACAAGAGAAGATAAGCAAGAAATACTCAACAATTACACCGGAACCATCATGTAAGATCTATGAACATAGCGCGATATTTCATTTCCACATATTATAATATTCTCCGGATGAGTGAAAATGTTGCACTCGAGATGCCGTCCAGACCGTTTATCGAAGAAAGATGCAGTAAATTGCAATTAACATGAGGGTAATTTTAAACATAAGTCACTTACGAAAGTCCATTTATGGAATAGTAGGCAAAGAATGACTCTGAAAGAGCAGTTTGGGTTGTATCGGCTGTGTTTTAATTTTCATCCCTATGACTAAGTGAGCGGTTATAATAGCACACTGAGAATCCAACCTAATTATATCTCCGAAATTTATGAGTGAACTCACTTGAACAGATAAGATTTGTAAATACAAGGAACTGCCCTCAAAATGCGCTGTTTCGCAATGCAATCCATTACAATATCACCGATGTTAAAAGAACCATAGTGCAAAAGTTTGTCCAAAGCCAAGGCTCCTTACAGAAACCTTCTAGCCACATGGTGACAGTAAGCTGATCACATCATAAATTCATTAGCAAACTAAGATCAGTAACGTTACCAAGCAGTAGCTTCTGTGATTTTGTGTGCTGATCTAATTTCATTAAAATATACTGAATGCGCATAAGTTAACTTTGCACATGTTGATTCCGATGTTTAGCGGCATGCAACTTCTGTGCTCCTTTATTTCGTCTGATGCAGGGAACTGTGGAGGAAATTTGACAAATGAGACTGGTTCGCTATCATTCAACAAAACTTCTTTGCAAAATGCGTTATGCATTTGGAGGATAACTGTTGCGGTCGACAAATTAGTGGAGCTTCATATTGAAAAACTGGAGGTATCTTTAACTGTTGTGTTTCTGTTTTCATAATGATACGATAACTAACATTTGTGAGTATTTAGATAAGCAACACATATAGCGCAGCCACAAAGGATCTAGTTTGAAGTGGACTTACCTAAAACAGGCACTTTTGTACCAATTTGCTAACTCATGTTGCCCAGTATCTATGTGTATGATATATCAATTGCGTAATAATCCTACTTTGTAATGGCGTTTCATCCTCTAAATTGCAGTCGCTTTACAACAAAGTGCTATCGAATCATACCGTAGTGTGCTCATATTTCTGTTTACACATTCAAACATATGAAGCGGCTGCATTCGTATCCAGATTTTCCTGTCACCTTGACCTCCATGGGGACAGCCACAGAATACCTGCGCATACAGAGAGGACATGGGTGGCTTGCGTTGAACCATCCACAGTTCTGCCCACCCACACCATATCCGGTGTAAACCCGAAGGAATAAGACCGGGAGTCATGTGGATGTGAACAAAGTTTCATCAAATTGTCTGTCCCAAAATCCTTCAACAAGCAAAACGGAAGCATTCCGGCCTAATTGAGCAAATATATACATCAGGCCTACACACGGCGGTAGCTAGACCGTAGCCCGTTTCACACATGACGGAACCAATAGTTGAGCCTAGCACCGTCACGAAGACGGTGGACTCCGTCCACTCCAGAAAAGACCAACTGTCTCCTGATGCCAGTATGGACGATTTAGTGGGTATTAGACAAGGTAGGCACCTTGTAAACATCCACATCTGGGGCAGCCACACTGAGAAGCTCAAACAACATCTACTTCTGCAATGCGAGATTACTCACCACCCAGGCAAACCTACCACATACGCAGCCATATTGGACTTTATTATTAAGCGTAATAACAGCGTCCGCGTAGTGCGCCTTTTTGCATGTAATGGTGCATTCTCCTGCACCTATGCAACCGTTCTTTTGAGTTGTCCACGTAATTCGCGTCGATCAAAGTTGCCTTGGATTCGCAACACTTAAAATCAAAATAAGTTTGTCGTAAACCCACTTTCTTCAAGTTCTGCGAAGGTTATTTTCGGTTTACCCCATTGCAAATTTCGTGCACTAATTTTGCCATACAAATAGGGTATGAATATCCTCGTTGAACTCATTTGGTATACATATATATATGGCTTGGGGCCATCCGTGCTCAAAAGAAGTTCGAGTGGAACATACGCAAATGCGGTTATCCCAAGTTAAGTGAACTGTCACAAACGGGATATAGGTACTTTGACCACATGAATAATGGTTCTACACATTAGTACGGATTTCCTTTGGAGTTTAGGCTAACAGCTATTTTCGCAGGCATGAAAATAAGTACCCCATACGAACAGTTGATGTTTTCTTTAACATTTAGTCGTGATAGCATTAAACTTTTGCATGCAGATTTGAAGCAGCCCGATATAGCAATAGTGAAGCAACTGCTGGGTAGAATGCTAAATAAACAAGTGTTACAGTAAAATAGTGTGCACTTAGGTTTGCCGTCTATTTGTACAGTATGGTTTGCGTAGCTGTTGAGGGAGATGGCGCAGCATGAGAATGCGATGGAGGGTCCACTTCTGACTGTCCGTGTCGCCGACCGATCCGATTATCTTTTGCCTGAGTTACGTGCAGATTCTCAAGGAACGATTGATGCGCGACCTTTGTTATTTACAGTTGAAAACAACTACGTTTCGCTGCCTACTGTCAAACAAGTGACTTTCCAAACAGTGCTCGCATTGTTTTGCAAATGTCCAAGTACTCAACCGTTTGTACATACCGAAGTGTACTCTACTGTGGCCATAAGTATTTGCGAACGATCTGTATCGTAAATCTCGGGTGTAGCCATTAGTTGTTCATGGAACCATTGATGCTCTGCAGCGATTCCTTTTCGATTTAATCTACTAAGACACTGACGTACCATTCCCCTTGTGTTTAACATTTTATATTAAGCTAACAGAAGAGTGGCCATATGCAATGCAACTTCTGGTCGGCGTCTCTACGCATCCCCAAGCAATCCGTTTAGTACATGCGTTTTCATAAGCCCCAGTAAATTCAGTATGGCTGATGAACAAGTGGAAATATAACTTTGCTCACTCTCATCACTATCCTGTAGAGTGGAACAAGAAATTTCGACATCATAAATATTGCTAGTCGGTTAATTGTCAGTATCCTTCACTTGCCACAGAGTTTCCAGGAACATTTCTCTTCGACTGCATAGACCAAATTGGCAACACGAGGAACAATCTTTGAGTGTTGTGTTGCAAATATCAAAATAGAGTTTGTGCGTACTGTTAGCGTTCAAGCGCTAGTAACCTTTTGATTCAAGCCTATCCACCGTGGCATTGATCCGGATCAAGCACACAAGTCGCTCGGAAACACCGCGCGCACCTCAAATACAAATGAGGTTAAGGATGAACTGAACCGTTATACTACGATGCACGGCTCTCTAAGAGTCGTGCTAGCACTAGGCATTAGGCAGCTGGTCAAACTAGGGACATGTAATGCACAAATCTATTTCAATGTGCAGAATGTAGGTAGCATGGAGCTTGCATATGGATGGGAATAGCAGCCAAATAATAATACGCAGAGGAAGATGCTGTTGCTCGGCGTCTCACTAATGTGTCGTCATACTAAACTCCACTGGAAAAGGTGGCAAGAATAGCATGGGTCATTCCGAGTACAACATTGTTATAAGCAACACAAAAGTCATCGCGAATTACAACCAATAACGATGGGTTACATGTGTCTCATCCGTTCTAGGCGGGCGCAATAAATATACTACATGGCATCAAGTCAGCAGGTACACATTCTTAGGTGATATTGTAACCAAGCGCAACTTACATGCGCGATAGCACAAAGATGATACAAAGAAAAGAACGGAGATGAGATAACAACTTTCAAGTTAGAATGGAATTGGCGCGATTATTTTCAATGCTATTCAAAAACGCAGCTAAGGTAAATTTCGCAATAGAACAGCAATGATAAATTATTAGTGTGTGCCGGGAATGCCGTCACCAATATTACTAACTGCAGACTAGTCGTGTCGGAATGTATACCAGAGCCGCTCCCATCGTCCGTTGTCCGGGATGAGAGAGAATCAACAGGGATGTGAGACCAAAATATATGTACCTATATGTATATGCATCCCCAATACATATCCATAAATTGTGATATCTTTTTAGCTGCAAACCCTAAGTTCATCATTTCGAGTATTGGACGGGAATGACTGTGCAGCCGATGTCATATACTACCACCGGAGTTACGATGCAGCGGGTCCACTCAGTATCAATTCAACATCGAACGTGATGGTCGTCGTGCTTGCCGCGCCACTGGGACTATCTTTTGCAGAAGTCAAAGCATCGTACAAAAGCGGTATGTATCTCATCTTAATTCTGCCTTATATATGACAAGAAATGTGTTACTTTTAGAAACCTAAGTTACCCGCGTTCAGCTACGCGGAGAAGATCAGTTAGACAGCTTTTGTTAAACACCCAGAAAATTTCGTAAAATTAGGGAGAATAGGTTTACCATGTTTGTATCTGCAATGCAATTGGACGTCATGTTTCGACGCAACAGCAAATTGCATAGACTCGTATTGCTTGAGGATAGGCGTGGGGCAATTATTTGCTCTCACATAATTATAAAATAAGTGTTTACGTATTCGAAATGCTTTTCCATTGAATTACTAAGCTTTGCATGTTTCGTTAACCACAAACGTTCGCAGCATCAAAAAATCTCACCGCGCATTTTAGCTAGTACGATTGCCATTGCAACGGAAGGGCATGGCACATCTACATTCACATGGTAACAGCATAAATGTGATATCCGAAAATAGTATTTCTGATAATTTCGGAGACCTCATTGGTATAGCTCGTCAGTTTATTTGCTCAAATATGCAGCAGTCGCCTGGTTTGACCAACCGATAATTGCCACTATTGTCCAAATCACGCCTTCATCTAAAACGGATTTCATAGGCACTTAACACTCAAGATTTACAAAGCTAACCACAAGCAACCGCCTTTAAGACAACGGAGGCGATTACCGTAAGTCCGGACTCAAAATACAACCACAAGGTAGTACCACTCTTATTTTACTGGCATTCAAGTATCTAAAAATATTGGACTCATGCATTCATTATCATCATCGTTATCAATTCACGTTCGCTGGGTGTGAGACACACACTTAACATAATGTGCAGCAATATATATGATGGCACAGACTATGTCACTAAAAATTACAGCATCCACACTACAAATTATACGAGGTTGAATATTATATACTGTGTTTTTCATGAAATCGAGAATAGAAGGATAAACTAAAGGGAGGGGGACAAAGATACTCACAACTCGAACGCCAATGGGGCTGGCTCTTCGCCATATAAGCAAGTGTGTCCAAACAAAATTGTTCATCCTCCCAGTCCAGGGATCCGGGACCCACAAAGCGCCGCCAGTTTCGAAGTGATGGTTTTCATTCCTCGCGAACAAGTACTCGCTTGGCCTACCCTCCGCCTTTTACAACCGTACCCACGGTGCGCAAACAATGCACGTCGCGGAAGTCGGTACGCTGACATATCTACTACGTGGCCCGGCCATTGGAGCCTCGTGCGTGATATAATGGTGCTGAGCAGTTCACCCGCTTTTCCTGCACCAATTAGGCGACGTCAAACAAGCTCATTGCTCACGCGGTGTTCCGATCAAACATGAGCTAAGCTGCGAAGGCAGATATCGAATGTACCAAGCGTGGTTAATTTTGTCGACCTGATGGGCGAGCGTAATATTGCTTTTGAGCCAAGGTTGCGGCGATTGGCAAAAACAACTCCAGCTTTTGCTATACATCTGGCAATCACCTCTTTGACCATACGGGCCACTATACAAACGTCTAGATACTTGAATTCCTTAACGGTTTCTAGCTGATCATCAAAATGCTTCAGCACAATGTTGGGTCCTTGCGAAGCTAGGAGAATACTTTTCATTTCGATGGAACAAAGCATAATCCAACACGACTGACAGCCAGTGCTAATCGGTCCAATTCAGCCCGGCACGTTTGAAGGCTGTCACATATTTGTGCAATCTCTTCAGCATACTCAGAGTCAAGAAATCACTAACCATGAAGTAGCTCCGAACCTATTTTTGTGTCCACCGAGCGCTGCATTCATGTCTTTATCAAGAGCAAATTTAAAGTGAAAATGTGACGGTGGGCTACCATGAAACCACCGCTGTTGATATCGTAGTGTGGATACATTTGGACATAAACCCTAAGTATACCCGAAAATGTGTGTCCATCGGTTTGAAAATGTCTACTATTTTATCGGGAGCACCTTTCCTCAGCAGACGGTTCCACAGGGCATATTGATCCAACAAACCGAATGCATAGTTGATAGTGAAGAGCACGACAACGGTTAGTCGCCAATAAACATGGCGGTGTTCCAACAATTGAAGCAAAGTAAAGAGGTTGTTGATGCAGCCCCGACCTCGACGAAGCCATGCTTGATCTTCACGGATCTGGCGTTCACGAAGGAAAAGCAAGCAATTTAGAGACAATTGTGACTTGACAGTCGCCTCTATGGTTCCGCATTCCGCTCGGGAGCATCCCTTAAAAATGGGGACTATGACGGAGCGACTCCAGTCTGTCTGGTGAGTTTCCTGCTGCCAAAGCTCAATTAGCAACTCGTGTAAATACTCTACAAGAGCACGTTCCGCAAAGAAGCAAAATTTTGGGGAAATTATACCGGCCCCTGTGGCCCAATGCAATTTCAAGAGTCTGCTCCCAAGTTCTAGGTTTGCTCGTGAGAGCGGATCCAAGGAGACGGCCAATGAAAAAATGCAATCGGTGCCTGAAAATGCGCGCGATAACTCTAGTTGGTTAAATTGTTTTACATAGTGTTAGGCCCAACGCTCCAAGCGTTTGTCAGGCTGTCGATCCGCTGTCCACTCACGTTGCGTATTGTCTCGTTAACTCTAGGTCTCCTGCTACATGTTTCCCTTAACTGACAGAATAACTTATATTAAATACCAACAGCTGCAGCTGCTTTTATTTCCGAGGCAAGATCAGACAACCAGGCTTCGTTTTCATTCTTCAAGCTAACACGCAGTCTCGCACTGAGATTTTACTAGTCTCATAGTATTCGCATCCAGCCGGAATAATTTGGGGATCATCCTGTAGTACCAGAGACCTTGTAGTGACCCAATGTCTAGGTTGGCAATTTGATTTATCACAGGAAGACAAGCCTACCGGAGGCAGCGTTTGGAGAATATGTTTCCCGTGATCTTCGACGGCGATCATTGGGCGCTTACGCAGCCCGGATATCAGAGCACTTTGATTCACATTCAGAACACCAGGCTTCTCCAGCTGGTGGGTTATAATACGCTCACAGCGACGTTGCTACTTCCGCAGAAACGCACTCGGAGGTCAACGCAAACAAGTGCGCTTTCAGAGTCGACGCTTGAGCTGCAAATCAAGCGACAGTTTTAGGCAAAGCCTCTCCAGCAGCAACTGATCTCGATACGATCGATTTACATCCATGACTGACCCGAAATTGATGAGCGCCTGGTCACGAGTCTGAGTGTGCTGTGTTGGAAGCTTGTGCTGGCGGGAAAGAGACGAGCATCTTCACACAGCTGTAGCAATTGCGCACCGTTATCGTTACCGCAGCATACACCATTTTAGCTGCCCGGATGAAGTTCTTCAGGAGGAAAAGTTTTAACTTGGTCTTTTAGACCGCCAGCCAAAACCACAGTATCCGTGCTTCTCCAGTATCACAGAAGATTGTTAATGTACTGATAGAAATCGTGGTGCATAGAATCAACGCTACAGTTTTTAGCGGTATAGACAGCAATGAGGAACAGGTACCGTTTGTTCCCATGCGACTTCGTAGCGGGAAAGGAAACCGAAATTCCAATGGGGCATATGTGACTGTTGTGCTGCATGCGATGGATCAGAACCGCTTCAGATCGGGGACTAAAAACAATGCGGACACCAGCTTGATTGGCATTTGAAGCTGCATCATCGCCTGATTGGCGCAATGAGAATTTGTACGCAGGACCGCATGTGATGGAACGCGCTTTAAGCGCGGAGCTCGAATGTTGCAGGTAAGTTTCTGAGAAATAGCAAATATCTATTGACAGTGTATCTAGTGTGCCGGCAATTGTTACCTGTTGGCTAATCAGTAGCAAAGTACGCACGTTGTGACTTGCCAGTCTTAGCGAGACTCGAGGACTCCAATGGGAAGCGGATGAACTGACGTTGTATTTTTGGTTTAACATGGACTTGGCGGCTGGATTGAAGCGACGTCTTGCAAGTGCGTGTGACTTGACATTAGAGGAGAAGCGACAATTGAATCATGATGGGGATTGTAAATGGGGGCTAAAACTAAATTTAGAGCGGAATGCTAATGATGAGAAAGCTCAAGAAGAGGGATAAGAAGACAGAAAAGCCTGAGCCTTACCATCCAAACGCTTATACCCTCTGCAGGAGGCAGCAGCTGGGTGCCGTAGATTATCTACAGCGACGGCGAGGTCACCAATAAATTGTTAGAAGAAGGGTTCGTCGTATTGTGTGGCAGAACACCGATTGGTTGCCCAGACCCAGAGAGGAGAAATAGTAGGTTTCTCAACCAAAGCCCTTGGTTTAAAATCTTGACAAGTAGCAGCAGAGTTATGACGCTGGAATAAAGAGAGCCCGTATTATTGAGTTAGGAGCCACTCGCACTCCATACTCCATCCTGGCGAGCCATCAGACTGAGTTTATTCGGCTTTTAACCATTGACCAATCTGGTATGAGTGACTCTTACATAGCACAAAATCACCACCTAGTATTGCTCAATCGATCACCGAGACACACAAAACATCGTAACATGTTAAGGACCATTCTCGTCGCGATTCATCTATTTATCTATTGTAAAACATTGCGGGTCAGTACACGAAATGGGAGCAAATTGGTAACACCGCCATCTGAGTTGCCTATTTCAAAGAAAAATATCTATACCTGATTAAAATGTGTTTCGTTTATTTATTCCGCGGTCGATTTTACACACTTTTTCTATATTGCAAATAGTTAGCATTGTTAGCATAAGTAATATTTACCTAAGAACTTGAGTAAGGTACTAGAATCGATAATACGTAATACAGTTGTCTTGTCGATTGACGATTTTCAATATATACTACTTAGATACCAACTATTCATATTTTCCCTTCTTCATAGCTCTTTATAGCAGGAGCGTCCAGATATTCTTTAAAAAAATTTTTCTACGTTTCGGTTACTATGGGCAGTAGACTTACCCGCACATCTTCAAAAATATGGCTACGTGGCAAAATACATGTATCAGAACAACAAGTTAGCGAACAAGCTCGTTTTCGGTGGCTCTTCTCAGGCTAAAACACCATAACTGATAGGAATACCTTTAACATAAAACAGCAGATAATGGTAAAGTCCAAATTTCCAGGTCATTGTAATGAAAAAGCTAAGTAATCCGATCAGAAATGATCGATGACCTATCGGCGGCAAGTCCCTCAACATGAGTCGTTGTGATAGTGGGCCAGGGCAAACACAGAATCTGAACGAACCGTTTTTGAGTACATAAGTCTGGGTTCTGGTGGCGGATAGCAATTGCCTCACCTGCTGCTAGTAAGCACATTTTATCACTCGTAAAAGGCGTCCAGATACACGGTAAATGGGTTGGAAAGCTTTGCGGGTGTCGATTTAGTGATTAGAAACAACTAAGTGTGCCAACACGGCGCTTATCACAGTTTTTCTCCCACCGTTGCGTAGACTAGCCTGGCAATGCTCGCTTATTCTCTCAGACAGCCTCTCAGTAGTTCTTCCGATGTATCTTGCTCGACATGAACAAGAGAAGCAGTATACACAATAAGAATTATATGACCATAGAAGTCTGTCTTTGACTTGGGGCCTCACGATTGATGTTGAAGTAAAACTTCGCCGCAAGCTCGCTGCGTAGTACTTATGGCTCATAGCGTCGGATAATCTGCTAGATGTTTCCTGCGCTATACTATCCTCCTTGAACGGCAACGACAAATAAACCGGTTTCTTTTCTACCGAAACTGGCTTAGCTCTCATTTCTCTGCATTTCATATATTTCCTAACAAATTTTTCTGGATAACCGTTTCTCTCGATAACGGGCGCGAGCAGAAGTAAGCAGGGCGCTACCGTAAACGAACTACTGTGATCTGATATCTAACTACATGAGTGCATTAAAGTATCTCAAGGAAAGGATGAACCAATAGAGAAGCAGAGCATTAGTCCTTTTCGTGTGTGTCTGGGGTTATGTGCACATGTCTGTTTAGACTAGCCGTCAAGCACGCCGATAGAATACACAACCTCACCTCTCCGCTTAGTTATGCAATGCGTCGAAACCATATCGATTCGGTGGTCTTTGTTCTCGGCCCATCTTGCGGATTTGTGTGCATTGCTTGATGGCACAAACTCCTTACGTTTGCTAATTCTGAATAACCTCCCGGTGTTAACCGTGCGGCCATCCTCTAGCCGACGAGTGGTTGGTCCACCGACTCGAGTAATTCTTATCGGATCTGATAACGTGGACTGTCTATATGATGCAGCTTTTGCCTTCACACGCAAGAATGTTCCGGGCTGGAGCGGAGTAGTAAGCTTCCGGTAAGTGGTCTGATATGGTTGACGATGTTTTAACTCGTCGGAATTATTGGTTGCAGCACTCGAAAGTGCGGCATTCACCTTTGTCCGAAGGGCACGCCCAATTATGAATTCATCTGGCATTTTGTCTGTTGCTCGGTGGTGTGCGGTTCGGTAAGAAAATAGTGCTTGTAAAACTGCATCCTCCCAACCTGTACCAGATAGGCGGATAGTTTGGATACTCTCTTTCAAGGATCGACTGAACTGCTCTACCATGCCGTTTGCCGCTGGATAATACGGCGTTGTACATGAGTGCCAGATAGCGTGAATTTGAATGAACGAATAAAACTCGTGGCTTGAAATCTGAGGGTAGTTGTCCGTCACTATCTGCTCTGGTAATCCGAAACAAGAAACTATGTATTTCAGCCATCGAATAATGGTAGCAATACTCATCTCTCCACACAAATGGACTTCTGGCCACTTAATGCAAAAGCAAGTCTCCACCAAACAGTTTTTTTGATGCTGAGGCGCCGAGGTAAGTGGACCCAAGATGTCAAGAGCTATGTCGTCTTATGGTCGCGTAAGATAGCCAACAAGTCGTACAGGGTATGAAACCGGCCTTGAAATTTGTCTGTCCTTTAACATGAAGAGCCATCACGAAGCAATTTTTCATTTCGTGTGACGTTATGGGCCACCAGAAGCATGTATCAACCTTTAATTTCGTACGAACGACACCAGAGTGGATTTCGTGAGCACATAGTATGATCTTTTGCATCATGCCCCGATGAGTAACAAATTTTTCGCCGCGCATTAATCATCCATCTATAAATGATGTTCGTGTAGCAACACGTAGTACGGACGAAACTCGCCTGCGATCTTGTTATTTTGTGGCCAACCGTTTAATAGAAACCCCTGAACGTGATAGAGTGTCTCACCTTGCTGAGTCGACTTCTGAAATTCTTCTATAGTCAACTGAGATTGGTTCATTACTCAGGGACGACACCAGTAACCTGTCATTATCATCCTCATTTTTTTCATTTATTTGAGTGGCAGTCGAGATAACCAATCCGAGACTTGGTGTGTGCTTCCGCGAAGGAATTTAATCTGAAAACCTTATGTTAACAAGCGTGCATACCATCGATGTATTCGAAGTGATCTGATGCCATACGTTCCCATAGTAACTAAGCTGGTTAGCGCTGCGTGGTCTGTACGAAGAGTGAAGGGTACACTGAACATGAACAAATTCCCCTTCTCACATGCCCGCTCGCAGGCTAGGGCTTCGTTTTCCCCGGCAGAGTAAGAAAGCTCTGCCGTCGACAATTTGCTGGAAGCGTATGCAATAACTGTTTCATTCCCATTTTGCATTTGGTATGGTATAGCACCCAACCCAACGTTTCATGTATCAGTAGAGACAATCGTTAGGCACGTCCCGTCGAAAATCGCAATGAATGGAGTGGAAGTAATGCCGCGTTTTATCTTGTTAAATGCCTTGTGGTAGGGATGAAACCAAACAAATACACTTTTCTCCATTGTCAGTGCACGCAGTGGTTAAGTATTGTTAGTGCAATCTTGCAGGTAACTTAGGTTGTAAGGACACATGCACAGAAAATGCTTTATTTCAGCGGAGTTCCGTGGAAAGGCGCCACGGTGATGACACATGCGTTGTCAAAACTCGGCTTCAAACCATCAGTTATTATGATATGTCCCAGGAACTCGATTTCACTTACATGAAATTTGCACTTCGCAAGGTTTAACCGGGGGTCAAGAACATGTAGTCGACCTAACACAACATGCAGTAGGGAGTCATCATCTTTTGGAGTCCTACCGAATACACCGATGTCGTCCATGTATACTACCTGACCAGGTAAATTTGCAAATATGTGAAACATAAACTTTTGCCAAGCTGCTGGGGCTGAACTCAAGTCTATTGGCAAAACTTTGTACTGAAACTGTCCCTCCATAGTAAGAAGTGCGGTCAGCGGTTTTGGCACCTGAATTAGTGTCATGTGAAAGAAAGCCTTCCGTAGTTCTACTTTGGAAATAACGGGGTGCCGGATAGTTTGACTAATACTTCATGCGCGCTTGGAAGCATAACCTTTTCTACCACGATTGGACGATTTACGGCCTGTAGTTCATTGCAAATTCTCACTGTACCGTACTTCTTGAGGACTGTAACCATAAGGTGGACACGTGCAGTACAGTTATTGGGTTCAACAAGGTCACCTGCAATAATTTGCCGTAATGCTGAAGAAACAACCTCTAAACTGGTCAAAGGAATTAGACGTGGCTGAGCAATGGCTACCGATTTAGTATCTTGTTTCAGACATATGCGGTGAACGAAGGAGGGAACGTGCCCTATTGTTTGTTCAAACGGTTTCGGGTACTGTATCTCTAGGTCAGATAGGTTGATTGCCATGATACGCAGACGAGATAGGGACGGAGTGACTCTCAGTGCAACCATGGCCTTGCATCTGAGTAGGGGACGGTTATTTCCGCGGGTGATGTAGACAGCAACTGCTGATTTCACAGCCCCAAGTTGCAACACAGTCACGATAAATCCCCATATATCTAGCGGGGCCTTTGTTTAATTGTCAAATCGAGAAACTGAAGGATGTGTAGGCATATCAGGTAGGTGAATGTCACAAAAACTACTCGATACTATAGTAATAGCAGACACTGAATAAAGTTCCATGTCAACATGTGTTGCGCTATCACGCGCAATAAGGGTTTAGGCTCTGGACGTTTGGAGCGATAGTTAGATACAGTACCCGAGTTCTCAATAGAAAATACATTTTCAGATGACCATAACGGCTGACTGGACACGGAATCTGTAGGACGCAACCGAGAAATGTGTACAGAACGACAACAAAGGGTAAAAGGTCCACGCTTACCGCATTTATTACAATCCATTTCTGAAACCGTGCACTTGGTAAACTTGGTTTCATGCTGTAGGCTACCGCAGCGGAAGCATTTCAGCGGGGATTAGAATTTTGTGGGAGAGCGACAGAGCTTGGCAACTTCCTGTATGTCTGCGTGGGTAGCGAAATATCGCAAATGTTCGGCCGTACGTGTTCTGAGGCAAGCCAATTACACAACCCTATCCCAAGTCAATTAGGAGGCAACTTCGGAAAGTATACTCTCCCGAATTCAGTTATTGATTGTCCCACTAATTAATTGCTGAAATAGCATTACGCCCTCTATTTCATTTGTTGTTAAGTTTGGATACTCACAGCGTCGTACACCGCGAAAGAGACGATCAACATAACGGTTTAGAGTTTCCGAGGGTTCTTGAGTAAGTCGGCCGAATTTGAGGCTAGCCTTGAAGATGTTTGTAGGCTGACCCCGTGAGTTGTCTAACACATCTAGCTCTTTCCTTAGGATATCTTGAGACTGGAGGTCCAAAATATCCAATCCATCCCTCAGCAAGTAGTAGTTGTATGGGTAGCTTCAGTTCCTAGCTTTCTGTGTAGTTAGAAGCCGCAGGTATTATGTCAAGATAGATTGTAAACGAGGGTTTCCAATTGGCCTATGCACTTTCGTTAGAACGTAAGGTCGGATCAGATCAGTAAACTGTAGGAGGATATATTTCCAAGGCGTAGATCTGTAAGCGGCAACGCCAGGGTTGTGTAGAAAAAGTCAAATGCACGAGCCTAAAGTCTATTCGGTGGACGAACTACTGTACACCGATAAGTGTCTAACTACGTGAGTATATTAAGGTGTAGCACGAAGAAGGATAAAGAAATAGGGAAGCAGAGAATTGGACGTTTTATATGTTTGTGTGTCTGAGGTTGTGGGCAAATGTCTGTTTAGACTAGCCGTCAAGCATACTGACCGGATACACAACAGGGCTAACGCGGTTTCGGAAGTTAGAGATGAAAAATCTACGCTTAAACACTGACCAGTTGTTGGTATTTTAAAGTATCTTGTGTAACGATGTAGGCACCCCGCATCACGGAACTTACGAATTCGCATGGGCGATAAATGTTTCATGGCAAAGTCACAAGATAAGTGTAAAGATGTTTCCGTGTTAAGAGCAACATCGAAATACGTGAAAGTCATTCTGTTGCACTCAGCTAACTGTCATTTACTCGTGTTGCTGAGTAATCAGATTCATGGGCTTAGGTTTTCCTTCCTACTTATGTGCATGTATTGATAGCCACCACATACAAGCGTCAGGATCTACACTGTTATGCGGAATACTGACCAGCACACTGACCTCTACTCAGAAGGAATATTTGATGGACGCATCCAAAAGCGTATGCAACCTTTTCGCTTTTCTTGCATCTCTCGCACCAAAAAGGATAACTTGCGTTTTCCCACTTGCTGCCCCATGTTACTTTTTATTTCTATTGCACCAACAATCTCTACAGTTCCCAATCCCAATTTCACGAACACCACAACACCCATAGAGACCTCGGTAGCAACAACATCAGGTAAGTCAATCCCATGTTGCTTATCGGCAAAGTTAAAAGATGTGCCGCATCTTTCTCAGTTATGATAACAGAAAATATCCAAATGACACACGAGGTTGAAAAGCGGCAAAAAGCTTTTTGATTTAGTTCATGTCAATAGATGAAGCATTTCATCGACTTCTACTCTGTAACCATATGATGCTGAGGGATCCGTGTCAATTTTAGACGAATAGGTCAGTGTTGCCAAATATGTGCGGACTTTGACCTCACGTAGTATACACTTGCATTCTTCGCCTCAACCTTTGCAATCATTATAACACTTGTATACAACGACTTAGGACCACCAAATCATCGGGGAATTTTGAAGTTAAAATTAAGAAAGAAGTATACAAAAAGGTTGTGTTTCAATTAGATATGCTGTGGTTCAACCGTTTCTTATCTCTAATTATGATATAGAATGAATAATTTGAGTTTGGAAGTTCTGTGATTTTTTGCAATCAAGTTCATTAAGGAAAACCGATGCTGGAGATCATTTCGGTGCAAGGGAAACCGTAGCGAATTATTCAAACAATAACCATGCGAAAATAAAATACAGAACTATAAATCAGAAGTTCAATGTGTGAATTATACATAAATATAAGTAAAAAATCCGCTTTCAAATCTAATAATCCAATAGGAAATCTCGAATATTAAATGCAACAGACAAGGTATTTCATTTACATTGGTCAGCTTTTCAGACTGTTGCTTTACATATAAACCGGACTTGCGACAAGGCTATTAAACAAACCTATTCGGTTGCATCAGTGTGGTCTACTTAGATGTGTATTCTACATGAATATCTTCTTAGTAGTGACAGCGAAGTTGTAGCTCTGATTGTACAAGCTGTGCGTGTTATGCAAGTTTTCTGACACGCTGAATTGTGAAGCTTACTATGTATGACCCAAAGGCTAAATTACTTTTTTAATTTGATGCCCGCAAGAACGCCACGTTGCCATCCGCCAGTTCCGCATACACATGGTGTTCATAGCGTAGCTATCCATATTATACGATAAAAGACCATCCGACGAATCAAACCCCTGTTGTTACTATGTGTGCTAAATTACTTCCGACAAGAGACAATCCAATACAGTGAAGTAATAAGGGCTTATAAGAGTAAATAATGTGAACACTTATGGCTGATTTGAGGCTACGTAAATAAATATTTTTCTTAGATTAATGTCCGACACGCTAGATTTAAACATTTCACACACTAATAGCAATTAGAAATCAAGGTTGATTGTATGGAATTCTGCGAAAACAGTTTAGTTTAGGTGGATCTCAACTAGCTAACAATGCTGTGTGGATAGTGGGCGAATATGACGTGACCCATTATTCACTATGTTCGGTTGGTAAACACATAGTGATTTGCGTACATATATATATATATATATATATATATATCCGTGACTCCGTCTTGCGCTACCATCATAGCGCTGCTTTCGCGTCCACTCACTTCCTCTTTGCTAAAATATATGTGCGTTCTACAGACCCGATTGGCTCTTGTAGAAAGTCATCAGGTGACTTGCATCAAGTTCCACTTATTGATCTGGTCACACAAAAGCTAACGGCTTTTTCATGTCTATCCAACTTCCAGGTTTGACTACGAATAAGCTTATCAAAAATTGTTGCTCTTACCGAATTATTCCACCGCAAATACGACCACGATTTCGCTTTACCCATCGGAGACTAGTTGCTTTGAGAATACAGTAATCAAATTACACTTATAATTAATTTAATATGTTATTCAACTTAATTAAAGTACTCATACAATGGGAGATATTGGTAATATAGTGCAGCGTACTCCAACCTTTGAGTCCGGGCCCTTAATGCTACATATATTCCGTACACATGATCCATGTGTATGTGATCCATGTCCAGAAAGGTGTTTTCCGTCTTTCGGGATCTTTGTGATACGGGATTTGTGCGTGCATATAAGAAGAATGCATGAAAAATGCATCACCACAAGCAACCACTATCGAGCAAAGCCCTCAGATGAACATTTTTGTTACCATAATTAGACCGGCTATGTCAGAACGGTATGCGGAGCGGTTTCAAACATGCTAACAAACCCGACTGGACATGGCTTATCTTCCCTTGCCAACGAAACGGTTGGCACGCAAGTGCGCTCGATGTTCGTGCCGAACAAACTTTGTTGAAGCGACAGTGGCATCAGGATGGCCTCCCTTGTAATTATGTACGCAGTCGCCCCGATGTGGCATGCATCAACCATTGGGCTTTAATGTACAGATAATGCCATCAACTTTACTATTATTACTACAGACAATTTCTAATTAGCAGCTCAATAAATACGACGCAATTTAATGCATACCATTTGATGAAACAGTAAAGGAGCAAAATGGATCCCGCCGTAAACGAATCTATTTGTGATATGGCCACTACAAAAAACGACGCACCGGCAGCAGAAGCAATCCGGTCTTCTTCAAAATTAAGTTCACACAGATAGACACCGATCTCAGAAGCAAAAAGCAATTTGGAGAAAACTCGTTTTTCATGATTCAGGGTGGCATAAGCAAGAATAACTGGCTAAATATTAAACTGGTTTATTTTACAGGTAGTCTGCTGTTAAACACTAACATGCGCATCCTCTGCCCATGTAAATTTCAAAATATGAAGTCAGTTTAGTCTTATGTTCATAAGCACATGCACAGCCGTCTTCCAGAATCTGCGAAAAAATGTACTTGACGAGATCGATGATGCAATTTAATGACTGATGATGCAAAAAAGACATGTATTTGTTAATTTTATACCTCCTAAATATTTCTATGGAATATTCACCTCAGAGGTTGCACCAAAACCCACTTACTCACTCCCACAAAATGTCTAAACCCACCATTATTTGAACAAATATTCATGTCTAACATTCTTGCATGAGCTGTTTAAACACACGTGGGTCAAGTTACACGTCAACCAAGAAATATCTACTACAACCTCATTCTGGCTTACTTCTTCAGCCAAAGATGTCACATTGAGAACAGTTCACTTCGTCCCCAGATTGACACCTGGATGACTTTAACCAAAATAGCATCCACGCGGATCATTCTGGAAAGCCGGACATTCCAGGAGATTCCATTAATCAATAGGGCAGATCCAGCAATAAGGACAGGTTACGGAGTCCCCAAATTGTTTTGTTTTACACGGTCAAGGCAATAAAATATTTGTTGATGTTCCTTGACTAATGATAATATTCCTTTGATTTTTCTCTAACGCAACCCAATTGAATTATTAAAATACTCATTCTCATTGTGTTCGCTTGCCGTAGAAGATAAATCTTACACGTCTAGTTACGACTCGGCTCGGTTTGCCTTCACCTGTGGCACCAGTTAGTACATCCGACTCCGTACTCCTACCTCGGTTAACGTCTTTGGTATGTGCTTTAAAGTGTTTTCTCCCCGTTGGGAGGGTAAATGGCGAATGGGTGTAAATGTGTACCACAGCAATTCATTTGGCATCACTCGGCTAACACAGCGACCCCATGATATCTCGCATTAATACTGGCGTAAAATTGCGCAATTTTTACACCCACAGCTTCCGTACAACTTTAGGTGATAGCACATCACTTTTAAAATTGCCATTTCCGACATGCGCCATCCTTTGTTATCTGCATGACCAAGGACATAGATTTAGAAAGAAAAATATTGACTATTCTACCCTATACATCCATCGTTACAAAATCCAAACTACCATTCATAGTACCACTTTAAACAAACCTGCCTCGAGTGAGCGGGCGATTCCAAGAAGTGCTTTATATTGAACATCAGCTAACAGCCACACCATGGTATCAAATATTGTCCGCGATTCTATAAGGCAATTGCGTCAGAGGGGATTATGTACTCCTTACTCTGTGATACTTAGTCCCAAAATATATGAAACGTTATAATCATTATTTCTTTTGACCAGTTCAGTTTATTTGTTGAGTAGTACATTTACGCTCCGCACATCGTATTTCTTTCAAGATGAAGATCGTAGTTGCCCGGTGTGATCTGTCATCACTGCAACATTTCTGCCTTGATTGCTCACCTACTTCCTCGCCGTCTACTTTTATCCAACAGAGGAGGATGAAAAAGTTGTGACTTCACCTACCCTAAATCCCGCAACTGGTGCAGCCACTGCTCATACCTCACTGAGTAAGTTCATGTGAGCATCAACCACCTCCTTGTGGTGATTTAAATATGGTAGCTGGATTACCGTTGGATAATCCAGATTCACCGCCACACACTTTCCATACAAATGAGTGTACATAGCACGGATCTCAAAATTCATCCCCTTAGTTTACCGGTTGCAACTAGATCGAAAGCGTATGTGTGCCGTACACTATATATATTACTGGAATAACTTACATAATATGCAAAGCCAACGGTTTGATTAAGTACACTAGTTAAACTCCCGAATATACTCGCAAAATAACTTCACTTGCTTTCATGTTAAAATGTATATGTCATCCTACATAAGTGGCAAATGGAAATCTGTTAGGCGAAACCGTAAGACACTGCCTGGTGTCTGCAAGCAGCGTCGTGGCAGGGTGAGGGGAAAGCTGTCTTAAAACATCTGTACACATCACTTAAAGCGTCATGACAAAGTATGACCAGCGATTTTCATAATCCATATGTACCTATATATTCAACAATGCTTGTTAAACTCTGGAACATAATTGCATTCACCAAAGGAATAACGTACAGCGGACTGACAATCAAAGTTCGTTTGGTCGTTGGAGCCAATCTTTTATGTTTAGTATTATTCTAAATCAGTTAGGCCCCAATACTTCGCCGTATGAACTAACTGTTCACAATGAGTGTACTACAGTTGACTATGAAGTGTCATCCTAACTACAGTCTCCCAGTAAATATACATCACCTAGGCGTTGGCCAGAGAAATTTCAACTGAAAATGTCAATTACGTCAATCTTCACCGAAGAGCAAATGTTTATGCAATTGTTTGCTGGACACGGGTCAAATGCTGGCCATTGAGAGCCAGTCTGGAGTTATAGATTGTCTGAAAAATATCTTGTTTTAAGCGATGCGTTAAGTGTCATAATGAAATGGTACTACGACTGAATAGCCCTAGCCTTTGCGTATCACTGCTTTCGGCCGTAGCCGTTAATCCATATTTTCTGTGTACCATCAAAATTAAATCACGACATAGTATTGTTGACAACACCATCGCGTCCCACTTTATTGGTCGAGGCTGAATCTAGTACCAAATAATTGCTCTCTCTATGCACTGTTAATCGAAGACCTAATTAGACCTGACAGCTTTAAATGGGAATCAACATGTGACCTACAATCCCGGTAACATTACGCGGCAATTACTGTGCTAGGACAGCTATTGCCATCTAATGTAGAAGCCAACTGCATAGAAGCAGTTTATGGGAAATCCATCGTTGATTACTAACCGGTATGATTTTCGCCAACTTGCATTAACTAACGTGAGCAGGAATTACACATTTGATGTCCTGGACCTCTTTTCATATAAAGGGAAGTGGCTACAGACCCGTTTGCATTCAAAAGTAATAATTGAAAGGGTGCTCACCACTTTTATAAAGTCACTGCTGCAATGTGTACATTCTGGATTCTGCTAAAGTAATACAGATTTTACTCAGTCACACCATCGCTGGGATAAGGGTGTTACTTATTTTGAATAATTGTTACCTACTTTTGTGAATGTAGCCTCTTGGTGGCCACATTCTAAACTGGACGTCACTTTTACATATATCAAGGAAAGCATCGAATGCACTTACAACGTGAAATCATCATAATCAAATGGGTCTCGATTTTTGCGTATTTTTGAATTGATATGGTTCAGCAGTCACCATTAAACTTCAAAAACAAAACCAATCATATCATTTATGCTGTACGTGATCCCATCTCTCTTATTTCAGCTTTGGCCTACGCGTGCAACTTATTCACAATGTTTCTATGGACGTTTATCAGTGCAATTCACATGTCGCCCGCATAAATAGCTCTTGTGCACCGTTCCAGCAAATAACATTTCAACAACTACACACCCAATTCATTCAACATGGTACACGTTTCATATCTACTTGAAGCAGATACAGCAATTTGACGCAGTTAGCTATTCGACATACCTTTCCTGTAATCTTTTTTACATATTCCTCACATTACATTACATTATCATTTAACAATTTAACAATTATTTAACAATCTTGATAATTTAGATTTGGCGTGTTCCTTATTTAAATTTATCTTTGGATGAGGAAATATTGTGAAATATTATGAAATACGCGTCTAAAACTACACAAATGTTAACTGTAAATGCAACAAATCTGCAACGGATCTTCATTAGCCGTTTTTTTAATGGAAGTACCCAACTAGGTAGTAACAACGGAACTGCGATTAGCTCATTCTACTCAGCACGAAACGCACCTAAAACTGTGTGTACATTATGCTCTGCTATTTAAAACCTAGTTTCCACGCGCCGCTTGAGCAGAAAACTGTGTTACGGACGATTTCGTAATATACTCCTAGAATCTGGGATCGAATTGTCCACGCCACTTATAAGGCAGAACTCATGGCTAGTTTTCCAACGTACATACAGCAGACAGACACAGTCAATCATAACACCTAAGTTAACTATATCAATGTAAATGCAATTGCTTAGCAACTGATCGTAAGTCCAAGCAAGTAAATTAAATCGATAAAGTTAATCTTGTAGGAAGAATACGGTCAAGATTACGACGTGCTGTTAGAGGTGATTTAGATCTTGGTGGTATTGGAGGCAACGAAACTTCAGTGGATGAAGAGTTTGACTAGTGCGTGATAGTTAAGTCATTTATGCTATAGATTCTGGCAATCATTCTAAGGATTATTCTGAATATACCAAGGATTATCTATATATCCAGCGTTGTGTAAATATTTTCTGATTGCCTCTGTTTTGTGGCGCCACATGACAATGCCAGTTACTTCATTTAATCATTCAGCGGTCTAATTGCCATTGTTCCTACAAGGAAAAAGAATACACCGTCTAAAAACACGCTTCATGCAATACAATTGCTAACTTGCAAAACATGCTAACTGAAGCAGCTGTCACGTATATTTTCCATCAGTTCATGAGCTAAATCTGCGGCATCGTAATGCGTCTAGTGATGCGGTGGGGTTTTGAATATTCGCAATACTTCGTGTGATTCGTTTTATACATTGAAGTTGTACACAAGGTCACTAAACAACGTACCGATTATTAGCCTATTTGATTTACCTAATATGAGCTGGCAAGGTCTGAATAGGGCCAGGTACATTTTTTAGAAGAATATATAACATGCAGTACGCCAGACTGAATATTTCGGTTAAATACTCAGAGTATCAAGTAGCTGATGTCAAAGCCCAAGCAAAAGAAATGTACTAATCCAAATTATCCTCTATCACCTCAATTGCCAAATTCCAAATGAGCAAATAGAATTGAATAACGTTGGCGTACAATTTGTCACTGAGCTGTTTAGTCATGAAGCGGTGCAATAAACTCGTACTGATTTCAGCAGCTTTTATCATCTGGCTCACTTGTTCACTACTGAATAACGTTGCTTACTTGGATACGATAGATTAATAAAGCTAGCACTTCTGTCCTGCTAATTCCAAGACATCACAATCAACTGGAAGAAATTCACCTGTTCTGCGTGCGGCTTACCGAACCAAGATTTGTTCTGTGGCAAATGTTGACTCTCACTAAATAATATCATATACAGCAGTATTTCTCACTGGGGAAATATCATGATATAAAAGTTATACTTTCCTTGATATTAGCGGAAAGATGCACCCTGTTTTATGGGAAGATAATTGGCAGCATTAATAAAATTGACACACAAATGATTGACTAATTTCGAAGCAAGGGCAATTCAGAATTTATTTGAATGCTTAATGTCCACAAAAGCTGCCGCATACGTTTTGATTGCAATCACTGAGGGTTACTGTTCACTGTTGAATATAAGCTGAGGAGTTTTGGACTACTTTTCATTCCAAAAGAAAGATGTCAGCTTATATAAAGATTACGGGCAACTTGAAAATAATTTCATTCAAAAGAAAATAAGGAATTTATCGCACAGAATCAAGCAACATCAAACACAATGATATGGGAAAAATAAGACAGAAAGCTTAGCAGTAGATTATTAGGAGTTCGGACAATATACGGGTTTAGATTATGATCAAAGTTGATTTCGAACATGTATACTGTCGGCCTACTCATGGATGAGAGTATATTGGGTAGTATAGTATGGGCATACTTAAAATAATGCAAGTGAAAATACCACCATCACATCTGATAAGTAAAAAAATATATAGGATATGAATATCCTCTTTGACTTCGGTCTTTATTCGAATACACTGCTTTGTGACCAACTAAAACTGGCTCTAGCCCTTTGAATTCCGTTAAACCACCGATGGTATTGTGCTTCGAAGGATAACATGCATGATTTTGTAAGTTTTATCGCGCTTACTCATATCAGACGTGATTTTGTTCACCCTGATGGATATTTTGGAACAAGAAAATAAGTCTGGTATAACTTGTTAAATTGCAGAGTACAGCTAACCCACAGGAACTAGCCTGCGCATAACATGTTGGAAATTGACAACTGTTTGTTTGGAAGCCATTGTAAGCAAATAAGGTGCTAACATACCAAACTATGTTAACACTCAATGGAGAAGAATCATTCCCATTCCGTTACTCGGAGCAGCGCCCAATTCAACTGTCATAGAAATGCGGAAGCAGACTTCGGGCTCCAACCTTCTTATATGCACACCAGCCTACACTTATGATGCTTTTTGCCTTACTTACTAGTAGTCTATAAGTTCTACAATTGCACAGATAAAACCACCACTCGTAATTTCGCCGGTCACTCTCCCTACAGAATGATAGCAATAGTAATAAGATTTACTCGTTGTTGTTCTTTCCTCTGGTTAGTCTTATCAAAATGTTAGGTACTTCTAAGTATTCTTCATTTCGATCTCAGAGTCATATAACATCCCGCGCGACCAACATAACCCTTGTTTGTAATCATTAATGTGGAGCTACTAGTTGATCAACGTATGTTATTCAGCACGTAGTTTTACATGCTTCTAACCTACTCAATCGAATCTCTTCATGAGTCAACCTGTTATTTGGATTTTATATTGCTAAGAAGCCTAGTACACCATTCATGGCACTTGATAAAATCAACATCTCTGCAGCTGAGTATCTACAACGGGGAGGGTGGGATAAAACTAGCCACATCACACAAACAGGGCATTTTCACTCTAAGTAGGATCAGGGATTCGGTACAGTGGCGGCTACTCTTAATCTAAATGAAGTGGACTACCTCATAAATTAAACAGCTACCTTGAATATTTATACTCAAGTAATTTAAAAATATTTAGCCTATGATTATCTATCTAATGTACATACTGGTAGAGGTTATATATTGCACTGGCTGCCATATTCAACCATATTCTTGTGGTTGGTTCACCTGCGGTTGGTGTTTCTGCGAATGCTTCGGAGAACAATTTGCTGGACAAAACGGTCACAACTAGCGTATCAGTACTCCTGATAATGCTACAGTGTTAAAACGCCGTGCCAGAGAACTGACTCGTAATGTCTGCTTAGTAAAACTAACAATAAGCAAGATACGATTCTATACCTATACTTAGGTATATCAAACATGATTATCTATCGAACTGGTTGCGGGGATTTGCACTAATATGTCCATGGCAGTCACTAGATGACAAATAATTATTTTTGAATACACAAACTTCGCGTCGTCGGGATTAGCAAGACCGCTTCATTGAAACGAAGGACGTAGTGTTTAGACGGACCTAACATAGTTGTGAACACTTATCAGAGATGTATCCCATCACATGTGAACATCTGAAATTCTGCACGAAGACGAAGATAAAGGGGATCATGGCTGATGCTTCATTTCCCTTTAGGTCCAACTTAGCTCATCTTCTTTCGGCCAGCAATTCAACGACCCATTGGTTTTACCTATTGGCTGTCTCTGCAGTCAAGCAACAGTTGGTATATACAATGTGGTTTGGGTTCGGCTAACTAGGATTCCTTTGTTGGGAGTGCAGGCATACTAACGGTTTGTTTGGTGATCACAAAGCCAGCATCAATAAAAAGTACCAGCGTTGCAGAAATTAAACGCTTGGTGATCTTCAGCACAGACCAAAGATTCTTGAAATGCAACTCGATATTATTCATTCGTCAGTCATTATTTGTCATCTTGAGGCTGTCTTGGAGGTTGGAGATGAATTTGGTCATTCACACTGCACTTCAGTTATATCTGGTAGAGCCTACTTTTGCGGTATCTATGACTATTACTTATTGTTAATGGAACTGAGGTGACAACGCAAAATGTTTACATCTACCAGCCTTTGTTGTGTACGAAAGTAGAGAACAATCACATCCGTAATGAACCAATGTAATTTGATCAAATTATATAACTTACGCCCATACATAGTTGAATGAATGATTTAAACCAAAGGTCTTGTGTGCGTGTGGGTGTGTGTATCTGGATGTATGCAAGCAATAAGGCATTCCCGAGAGTGCAAGCTGAATATGCAACGGTCTTCTTCCTGTGCTTTCTGAATTTGATGGGGAGAACTAACTGATTTACAAAGTCAATACAGAGCTATTTCATTTTTATCTGCAAACACCAATTTCTTCGGACCTATATGTTGGCTGTGCTTTCCTATAAATCTGTGTGGGTAACATATCCCAATGCTTGTTGCGGTAGTTAAATCTAACCCGTCGATCAGACAATCATCATACCATTATCATACACGTTAGCTAGAGGAGGGAAACACCTGAGCTACTCTGCAGAAATATATAGAGAATAAAAGAGAAAATATGCAACAGGTGCAAGCCGGCCAAGCTACCGGTAACGGATGGGCATAGTTCCGGTAAGCTACCAGCTGGCTAAAGTGTATCAAAAAATTACTATGCGTAATTATATGGGGCTACCTAGTTAGACCGATGTTGGACGGGGATGCTAAGGGGGATGGGGTGGGGCAAAGAAACTCACAGCACGAACCCCACTGAGGTCGGCTTCTAACCAAATCAGCAAGTGTATCGAGCCAAACGTGTACATCGTCTTTCAAACTCCATAGAGGGTGCCGGAACGTTCCAACCGAGGCCA